TCCCTGACCTGGGGAACTGATCACAGCAGTCTAAAATGAGCCCCCTAAAGCATCAGAACTTTGTCTGAAACATGGTGAAATGAATCCTGGGGCTGGAGCACTGCAGTCCATGGCTATAAAATGTTCAGAAGGGGCTGGCAAGGAAGGAGGGGTGAGAGATTTGCTCTCTGTGTAAAAAATTTGATTGACTGCACAGAGCTGTCTTTGAAAAACAGTGATGAACGAGTTGAGAGCTCATGGGTGAGAACTGGAAGGCAAGCCAAAAAAGGAAACCTTGTAGTGGGTGTTTACTACAGGCTGCTGATCAAGGGGAGTCTGTTGACAGAATGTTCATACTTGCAGGCTCTGATCCTGCTGGGAGACTTCAATCACCCTGACATCTGCTGGAAAAGGAGCACAGCAACCTGTAAGAAATCCATGAGTGTCTTGGAGAGCAACAAGGTTAATTTCTTAATCCAGGTAATAGACAGTCCAACCAGAGAGGAAGCGTTACTGGTCCTGTTGTTTACCAGCATAGATGAACTAAATGTGGTTTTTTTATTGTTTTGTTTATTTATGTATTTTTATTTATATTTTTAAATGTTAGAAATGTCAATATTAGCAGCACCCCGGGCTGCAGTGATCATGTCCTGGTGGGTATCACAAGCCTGAGGTATATGGGTCAGGTGAAGAGTAGGATCAGGACACAATTTTGGAAGAGCAAACTTTCTGTTGTTTAAGGAGTTAGTGGATGGGACCCCCTGGACAACTGTCCTCAGGGATAAAGGAGCTATCCAGAGCTGGCTGCTCTTTAATGACATATTTTTTAAAGCACAAGAGCTCTCAATTCTTTTGGAGCAGCTGTCAGAACTGTACAGATTAAAAGCCCAGGGAGGCTGGTGTGACAGTAGTTTCAGATTAAATCACTACATTGTTTCAATACTATTATTGAACTGGGAATGTTGAATACTCCTTTGGCTGTCTTTGCTGCAAAGCATAAAACTAAAAACATGTTTTTTCTTTTGTAAAGTTGAAGAAAAAGACCCTTAGTAAGTATATGTATGTATATAAAGTTGTTGGTGATTGCAGTCCATTGGTGTTTGGATAAGGCCATGTATTGTGTTTTAAGTGATGTTTGAACATTATACCGATACTTGAAGCTGCCACATGCACCAATGTACATCTTAATACCTGTGACTAAATCATAAAGGAAAATATAACAGTACAGGAGTCAACAATAAGTTACAAGACTGCTTTTATTAAGGCATGAAAATTCTTCTGAACAGGCTCAGTCACAACAGCAGTTTCTGCTGAGCATCCAAAGCATGGGGGACAAGCTATTGGTTTGCATTTTCTCTAAAGGTTAGTGCTCAGCCCTTGTAAATGGCATAGCTCCACCAAAATCAATAGGTAGATCTCTAGTCCTGTCACCTCCAAGGAGTCCGGGATTGTAAATACTAAAAACTAGAAAAATATTTGTAACAAAATAGCTTATTCTTTCACTGCGTGCAGAAGGCAAACACATTACATATTTGAGAGAAAACTGAGCAAAAGTTGAGAGACTCCTACATAACAAAAGCTAAGGGTTATTTTGAGAAGTTGTGGACTCCCCATCTCTGGAGGTTTTCAAGGCCAGGCTGGACAGGGCTCTGAGCAACCTGGTCTGGTCTTTAAGGTTTTAAGGTCCCTTCCAACCCAAACCATTCTATGATTCTACGTTCATCAGACTCTAAGACTGCAAAGATAATTTAGTTTCACCAATGACAACTAAATTATATATATATATATATAAAGATCTGGTATGGTAGCAAGGACAAGTCAAGTCAAAGTGTTTTAATCCTTACACAGTCACCTGAATCTGAAGCCCAATGCAAATGACTAACTCTGAAATGTGAAATGTATTTATATATTTAAAAGGTGTATATAAAACCTCTAAGATCCATTAGTATCACCTTTTGCAAAATGTGGAAGTCTTTTACCCCGTTAATCTTATTTTCTAACATAAATTGGACTAGGGGGATAGAAAAGCAACTTTCCTATTCCGTTCTGTACCAAAAAATCAGCACCTAAGTGCTACTAAAAGTGTTCATGCCTTTGAGTTAAGGACCAATTTCCACTAAGAGTTATTTATAATGTTGTCCATTGGTATTGAGGAGGAATTAGTTTGTTCACTATAAATTGATGTGACCCAGACAGAGCAGACTGTCACTGTGTGGGAGGAGCACACGCAGCAAACAGAATAAAGGGGAGGTGGGACAAGTTACACCACCATTTCACTCTCCATCTTCCAACACACTCCCTGAAGTGGAGTTTTGGGGCAGCAGAGAACAGCACTCCAGGAAAGAATCCTGCAGGAGATGCTTACTGTGTGGAAGTGGCTTTTGTTCCAGTTTAATCCAGGTGAACAAACTGTTGTTGTACCCAATGGAGTGTGTAAACTGAGCCTTTGCTGCAGCAATAATGGTCTTGCAGCCAGGCAAAACTCAGCTCAAATATATAAACTATTCAGTTATAATTGGAGTGCTCTCACTTGTGGCCTGACTGTACAATCATTATGGTCTAATTAACAGAATATACAGGTACCAATTGACTTATCTGGGCTGCCAGCAGGAAAAATCTTTTTTTTTTTTCTCTTCTCTTTTTCCACTGAGTCCTTGTCGATTACAAAATTTACAACCAAACCTCAAAATCAGAGTGCTGAAGAACACTCTGAGCAGGTTAAGCCCCAGACTCACAGTGCCTTTTTCTTGCTTGGTGGTAAATCCAATGCTTGTTCTCCAGGTTCTCAGTATACTTAAGGGGTTGCACAATTAGGTCTTCAACGTTGTTGCAGCTCCAGGTTTCCACCTCACCTTAAGTAAACAGTGAATTACAAAGCGAAAAAGAGATTTCTCTGCAGGTTTGATGATTCACTTCCTGGAATATTTATAAAAACATGCAGCTTGTCAATAGTAAGGGCACAAGTGATGCTGAGATGGGCACATCGTGATGTGGCACAGTGAGAGAGCCAAATCTTGGAATTTTAATAATGAGGTCTTTGGTTTTTCCCTTCTGTTTTATCCACGGAAAAAAACTGCCAAAATTCACTCGAAGCTGGAGCTGTAGTCATTAATAGTTCTGAGGACACCAGGGAAGAGCCAGATTGCTAAGAAAAAAAGGGGGGGGGGGAAACAGAGGGTTTAGAAGCCCTTTATGTAGGATAATAATTTGGAAGGGTCAGTGTTGCAACCCATCCAGTCCACTACTGAGAAGAGCAATGAAAGCCAAATGTCGAGTGAAGACAAGCTTCAGTTCTCCACGTGATGAGATATAATCCCACTAGGAAAAAGAATTAAAACAAATTAATCATGATTGAGAAATCAAAGAAAGTAACTTTCAAAGAAAGTTAATATATAGGAAAGAGCTGAGTAGCTCCAGCTTCTAAAAGGAGCCATTAGCTGAGACTCCAACGTGGTGTGTAAGCATTATGAGCCTGACAATATCCTTTATGCTGCACTCTGTTTGCACAACTCCAGAATTCCCATTACTATCAGGTGTTGTAAACACCCATGACCACTCAGGAGAGCAGGGTGATGAACACAAGGCAAGCCATTCTTCTCTCTGTGGAGAGACTCAGAGGCTTCATGTTCTGGTTTTATTTTAATGAACCTCAAAATGCCCTTTATGGCTCTATGGTGGGACTTTTGTCACTGATGGAACTGTACAGCTGCTGGAGTTAGTCCAAGGAGTCCTGGGTATCATCCCTTTGGAATCCCAACAGGTAGCCCTGCCCAGCCTTTGGGAAGCCATCAGAGCATCACCCTCACCTGCAGCCATCTCCTGAGAGCTGCCCACAGATGGGTGTCACAGAGAGTGTGATCAATGTGACTGTAAAACTGGCAGACAATGAGCTACTGGTGAATACTATTCAAGATTCCCAAGCTGATAGCTGGGGTACAGTGTTCCCTGCCCTTTCTCTGTGATTTATATCAAGCATTATTGGCCAGGGTGAATTGAACTAAATTATCTGCAAATACCATCATGATGAGTCCAGTAAAATCAGTGTAGTCACTGCCAGCTGCACTGTCATGCAGGAGCCCTCCCTCCAGGAAAGGGTTGCTGACTAACTCTGGTAACAATGTCAAACAAGCCTGTTTCCAGGAACAGAATCTGATCCACGGTAAACATCCTTGAGTTGTGAAGTAGTAATAATCATGGGCTGCCAGCAGCAAAAATTGTTTCTTTTTTCTCTTCTCTTTTTCCACTGAGCGAGGTGTTCTTTTTCAGCCTGCCAGCTTTCTCACCTCTCTCTCCTCCTCTTAAAGAGGCAAGCAAGCCAAATGGTGGTGAGCTGCTAGAACACACTAATTTTTACAGAAAAATTGCTGAACCCTATGGTATTCTGGGAAAGTGTTAAATTCCCAAGTTGCAGAGACAGAATGTGTTACAGTGGTTAAGTCTCCTCAGAGCTATCTTTTCAGACTCTGTGCAGGCACTTGTGTGCAGTATTCATGCATCATCAACATTTCCAGCCCTTTATGTTTAACATCCCACTATTTTCTTGAAAAATATTTCTTAAAAACAAACAAACAAAAAAAAAAACCACCAAAAATCCCCAAGCTATTGCAGAAAGGGAAAATTTCTGAAGCAAGTTTATAAAGAGAGTGCTAAAGTTCGTCTCCTTTATTGTGCCAATCCATGGTCCAAAACCAAAAGTGATGTGCTTCTTTTAGGGAAATCGTTATTGGTGTTCTTTTCAAGTGGTGTGTCATTTACTCTGCCTGAGATGGAAGCCATGAAGGAAGATGAAGAACACAATGCTGCCTTCCTCCTCTGTAGTCCTGCAGCATTTGAAAACAGGCAAGAACAGTTTCTTTCTTCCTTCTGTGGCCTTCACCCACAGCCAAAAGGAGAGCAGGTTCAAATACTCTCAAACAGAGGATGGTCACCTACAAGTATTTCACCATTTCAGGAAGGAGATAAATAGCTAAAAAAAGCAACTGGTCATAATTCAGTACTTACACAAGGTAACCTGAGGATCTCTAATCGTAGAACACTTGGTAGCTGACGTTGTCAGACTTGATTCTGAAGTTGTATCTTCCCATCTTTCGCTGGTACTGGAAGATGAGAAGGCTCACAACTCCCAGCACAAACCCAACCACAGTAAGGGCAATGAGGATGATGTATCCAACTCCCATTCCAGCCTCCTTTTCTCTCTTCAAATCAGATGCTAAAAGAAAAAAAAAAAAAAAGAAAAACCAAGAGGTGCAAGAAAAAAAGCTTTGAAATCCTTGAGTATTTTACTGGGGTAAAAAACAAGCCTTTCCTACAAATTAGCCAGCAGAATCTGCCAGCACAGAACTGTGATGCAGTAGTGTATCAGCCTTCTGGGGAGGGTGATTCTCATGGAAAGGTCATGAGGACAGTCCATGTTCTCCCTTTTGCACACAAGTGTAGAGTCCCTGCAGACATAAGTGTGATTTTCAGTAAAATAAGAATTAAAGAATCAACACTGGAGACTTTTTGAAAGAAGAACCTTAAAGGCGAAGCATTCTCCCATCTCAATCCTGCCTCTGTTCATCTGTGATTCTTAAAACCCACTTGACTTGCTTTTATCACATATGTAACTCTTCTTTAATCACAAAGTATCTAGGAAAGGATTCTCCATGTGTACTGTGTCAAGGCTTGTGTTTCCAACTGTCTCCCGAGGCACCACAAACCATCAGCAGAATGTGTTCTCCTGGTTTACATTTAGACACTTCCATATATTTGTCCAAATCTACCAAAAGATCCCCCTCTCCCTTTAACATAGTGCCTCTCTTCGTGTTTGTACATGTACTTATAATTCATTCTTGTAAAGGCTTGATGCACCTACAAAAATACATCTATTTGTGTGCTTACATTTTCAGGACAGCACTTATTTAGCCAAGCACTTATGTGGTACCCGAGGTACACAGAAGGCAAATACCACTGCATTCATTCCTGCAATTACAGGCAAGATTTTTGGCCAAAGGGCAGTGTTGGCAGCCACAGAGGTGTGTAATAGCTGTGTCCAAGCCACATAACATCCAGGGCATCATTCCTACAGGTCAAAGCAGTGCTGTATAGCATATTCAGTATTATTTCTGAATTTCAACATGAAACAGAGGAACGAAGAACATGCACAGTGGAAGTGGCAGCCTGTATCCAGATACAGACTGAACAGGCCTTCCTAAGAACATGTAGCAGTGGCCTTTGCTATGGAATGTGGCCAAGTGTAGGCAGAGCAGTGAGAGCTTTTTTTGTGTCTCTTTTGTTATTACCTGACATCGTAATTCATGTTTTCTCCTTCAACACAGAGATGCAGATCACTGTCTGGGTCTGTCCTCACACTTAAAATGAGTTGTGAGTGCCCAAACTGGAAATAGGAGACAACCTTTAGTAGTGCCACCTTTGCCTAGGACTCAGTGCAGTACAACCCAAATAAAACTCCCCTCACCAGAGGTCATTTGGAGGAAATGGCCATTTTTCGGTATTAGAAAAGCACTGGAGTCTCCTGTGAAAAGGATTGTGAGAGCTGCTTGTCATAAGAGTTGAAGAACAAAACAAGCTGCATTAATAGCTAAGTTTTTTTTAAAAAGAACTAGTTCAGAAATGAACACTGAAGGCCTATTTGAACAGACTGATATTTGCATGTAATGGAAGAAAAATACAATATGCTAAGTCAGAGTCCATTTCTAGGTCCAAAAGAACATTGTGAACTCTCTATTCACAGCAGCCACATGTTAAAACTCTGATGCTGGCGAGCCCAAATACTCTCAGAGAGTGTTTTAGATTAATAAGTTATGAATGCAAGTGGCTGGAGGAGGACTGATGACAGAAAACATCACAGATCACAGGTGCCCTTGAAAACACCACTCAGAATGCAGAAGAGGTAGGTGTATAACAAGTCAGACCTTGCTTGAACATAATGCTGGTGTTTGCTCTCCATTAACCTGTACTGCACCTCTCCTCCAACGTGCTGTGCATCAGCTGTGCTCTCTGCCACTTCCCCTCATGGCCAATGCCAGGGAGTCAAAGGAAACACAACAACAAAATCTCTTGCATCCTCAGACATTGGACTTCAGAGCTCAATACAATTGCAGACCAACAGCAGGGTAAACACTTGGAAAACCGATTGCAATCTGAAAGATTGGAGCTGCTTTCACACTTCACAATTGAAATTGCTGTTTGATTTTGTGGTTGCTGCACTTGCTGCCCTGTGCAAACAGCCACACAAAGCACTTTATCTTCCTTTCTACATTCCCTTGACAACCTGACAGTCACTTCACCCAGGAGGGCACAGGGTTCTCCACATTGCCACGTGGCTTCAGCAAGAACCCTTGATCCTCAGGAATATTTGCAGAGGGGCACGAAAACCTTGCATCACAGGTCTTCAGCTTCCTTTCCCAGTAAAAGATGATCCTGAAATGACTGTTATGTGGTGTCCCTTTTTTGCAAGCATCTGTTCAGAACTCACCAGCTGCTTTACACAGGGGTCCCCAGGATGTTCTGTGTGTAGCAATGACTTCTCCAGCCTTCAGGAACCGAACCATGGGGTGGCATCTCTGCAACAATCAATTCAAACTCCAACAAGTAATGTGCCTTACTTAATCAAAAATACAAAGCCTTCTGATGAGCATGTGAAAGCCCAGTGCTATTCTCACTCATTGGGGTTTTTGTTTCTTAATGTTGTGCTTTGTTCAACTGAAATTAGCACCAAAAGGAAGTTCAAAGGAAATGGCATCAGTATGAAATCTGTAATTGGTCACGCTGGAAAACACTGCTGTGAACAGACATTTCACACAGACAGTCCCTTTCTTTTTGTTAACTTTCTGTTTGTTTTAAAGAAGCCTTATGGGAGAATAAACTTATCACTATTTCTACATGCCAGGGTTTTGCAAACATTTTTGTTGGGGTGTTTCTACTGCCCATGGCAGATGCTAGAACCAGCACCACCAAAAGCAGTAGCAGCTTTCAGTCCCTGCCAAGCCACGTGTCATTTTGGAGCTACACACAACTTCAGTGACATGTGAATTAATAATCTGGGAACTACCAGTTTGAAAGCCCTGCCCTGTGAAATGCTGGGGATCAGCTGCTTCAGCTCTGTGTGAGCAGCACTTTCAGAACACGCAGCACCCTCATCCTCTGCACACTGCCTCGACAGCACTATTCACTTTGTTTGCCCTAAGGGTCTCTGATGGGAACTGCAGCCTACTGGAATTAATAAAAAAACACTGTGGCTCTCCTGAAAGTGCACATAAAACAGAGATACTGCAGCATCATACTTATAATCAGCAAAAGAAAGCAGGGAATTGCAAGGGTGTCCTACCAGTTTATATATACAAGAATATGTTACCACTGGTTACACCAAAAATTCTCTACAATCCAATGCCAGGAACAGTGTCTTTAGATGGGTCAGTCCCCAGAAAAATACCCATGTGTCTATGACTTTTTTTCTACCCTCAAATAGCTTTCCCAGCTGGGTGGATCCATTAGAGAATGTGCTCATGTAGCTGCTCCCTGATGGCAATGATTTTGTGGTTCCACATGGCCATGGAGCAGCCACGTTCCACCAGACACCACTCCTCATTCCAAGTCATGTTTCTTACTCATTTCTTGCTACATTGCTCCCCAGCCTATTTCTTTTTACCCCAAACTCTAGAGCACCTTACTCTCTTCCACTGAGAAAACAAGGGGGAAAAAAAGACAGAGTAAGAAGAGATAATACAACATGCAACTCTCAATTTTGGGGGTAAAGAGCTGAAGCAAACCTGACCTCAAGCAAGTCAATACTGCCTGAAGTAACAGATCAGAGGATCAGATCCCAGACCCTGGGCCCTTTCCCAGTCATCTTATACTATTTCCAAATATACCCTCTTGCTCCAGTTTTCCTTGATCTTTGCACCTTCTGCAGCTCCCACCACCTTCTGTGTAAAAGAAAAAGGTCATCCTTATGTAGAGGTGCCTAATGCTTGTCTTCTCCACATCACAGTTTGGTCTCAATGTAAGATAATGAATTCATTGACTTTTCATGGGGGTAAATTTTGCATAGGAAAAAGAAAAATTAAAAATGTACATATACATATGGATATATGTGTATAGATAGAGATATAGATATATTCCTCCTCAGCTGTGCAGGGCACAGTGAATTCAGGAGGGCAGCACCTCCTGCAAAGAAAGGCATAGACTGGCAGCTGAACCACTGATTTTTAACATGTATATTCATATTGAACTGTAAAAATGGGAGCCATCTTACCACAGTCAGTCTCGTTTCCTGTCCCTACTTTATTTCTTTATTATTTATTTATTTATTTATTTATTTATTTATTTACTAAATCTGGAGGAAGCTTTATACTTAGAGAAAGGAAACAGGTATCTTCTGGTAGCCACTTCTAATCTTTCAGGAAGAGATTGTTTGCTTTATAATGGGCTGAAACTGTGTTATTTAGAGCTAGAGGAAAGTGGTAAACAATGGAGGAACACCACACTGCTAATGAAAACATCCTTGATAGAAAAAGAGCCAGGAAGGTTGGCAGAAGAGAATTCCCAACTGTCTACTATTAAAAAAAAAGAAAATCATCAGCAAAACGTATTTTTTCTTATTTCTATAGTAGCAACACATTTTTAGATAAAGTTATGTATCACTTACTTGGAAGTAAAAAGAAACAAAGCAATGTTTTGTAGCACAGACAATTAGAGACTGCAGTTCTTATCAGAACACTGCTTTGTTTATTGCTTTAAAAAGCAATCAGGCTTTAAAAAGCCCTAATAAACTCTATTAGAGTCACAGACCTAGAAACTTAATGCCACTGAGCTTCCTGTCCTGGAACCTAAAGTATCAGCTGAAGCACCAAATCTCTAGAGGAAAAGAAAAAAAAAAAAAAAGAAAGAAAAACATCCTGAACCAATTTAATCTGATTTTTCCTGCTGACACTGCAAGTATGGGTGCTCACTTTTTTGTGTCATGTCCATCTGAGCTGATATTTTTCTGAACAGTCTAATTTCCAGCCACCCCTATGCAGAAGAGGAAGGTCCAATTCTCAGGTTCCCCAGTTCTGTGAAAGCTCCATGATTTTGACTATGAGCATGAGGAACAAGAAGAAAGGCAGACACTTCCACATGGCTGTAGTCCTTCCCCACTCCCCTCTGCTCCTGGCAGAGAATGAAGGAAACTTCAAGAGCTATTTAAACCCAGTTTGGAAACATTACTCCTTCCATTCCACTGAAGGACAGCATAAGGCACTGAGAAAAATACACATTTTTGGGAAGAAAAATAGCAAAACACTTACTGTCCTGCAGGTTCTTCCCGGTGTCTCCATACAGATACGAATTCTGCAGTGTAAGTAAACCACAGAATTGTTGACAAAGGAAAAAATTTTCATCTTAAACTGGGCTTTGCTTGAGTTGCCATTCTCTAGCAGTGTGGTGTATGTGTTTGGGATGGGACAGCTGAAAAGGAAGAGAAAAACCAGACAGATAGGGCTAGAGAAGGCAAGCTGTGGCTATAGCACATATACTGGGTTCTAAGGCCTTTCCTTCCTTTAGGAAGTCACAGCCAGACCCTTCATGAAGCAACTCTGGCAGCGCAGTGATGATAAGGGGATGTTTGCTGCTTATTGTCACAGTAACCAAACAGAAGAAGAGATTTGAGAAGTGGTCAGAGGGTTGGAAAATAAGGGAGAGAGTAGCAGAAAGAAGGATTTAAACTTGGCTTCACCAAACAGAGGTTGAAAAACCATCACATTAAAAGGAATAGGTTTTGTTACTGAGCAAAAGGATTATTCTGTATTTTAAGGTGGCAGGTGAGCCCAAGGAGTATGACATTGGGGTGACATTAGTGATCCAGACAGGAACAAAGCTCCTCTTTTACCAGAGGCTGCATTAATATCATGTGTGAGGGATTAGCTAACCTATTTATTCATTGATGAGAGGCGTATAAGCTCTTGGTAGAGCTGAAACCACAAGAGAAACCTCTGAACCACAGAGAAATAGATAAAGCACACATTTTTTCCAATGCTCTTTCACTGCTGACTGCCAAAATAACCTTCAGGTCAAAAGTACAACACCTTGACAAAACTGTAGAGAAGACAAGGAAGCTCAGACAATTATGACTTGGCCCTTTGAAAACCCTTTTCACACCTACTATTGTTGTTCAAAGGTGTGACCAGTCCAAATGGAAAGGGAACATGTACATGAATGACAAGAACACACATAAAAGGCATTTAAAATGTGACACATTAGCAGTCAGTGCCACTGGAAGATCTAAGGCATGGCAGATGCTATTTGTAAGTGGTATTGCTGTACCTGTTGCTGATAAAAACAAATGAGAGGGTATCCACTGAATTATTAGTTGGAGTTGCCCAGCAGTCAGTGAGAACCACCTTGAGCTTGCTGTCCCCTCTCTGGATCCCCACTTCGATCAGCACATCATCACTGGCAGAGACACTGAAGTTCTTTGGTACTGGGGAGTTCCCAATAAACAGCTGCATTTGTGTTCTGAAGTGTCCAGATCCATGCAAGTCCTCAAAGATGGTGTAAAGTCTGAAAAATCAATTAGCCTCCTTTAAAGACCACAGATTTTACTGTATGCTTCTGTAAGTCATAAATCAGTGGCTGTTTCTCCACCTCTTGAGCATATAAATAGTGAAGAGTTATCTGCAGTCCAGGGTGTCAGGACACTGTTCAAAAGGAAAGGAGGAAAATGCATCCAGTTGGGAAGGCAGAGAGCATGGAAACACGAGTGGGAAAATCCAAAGGGTGGAATGTCTCTGCAATACAAGCAGGGCAGAGAGAGAGATTTGAGTGCAGCAGAAGGGGAACAAGACCACGAGGTCTCTGAAAGTTCAAAATAAAGACAGTAAATCTTAGTGCAGAAGAGAAGAGCCAAAAGAAATTATAATGGACAAATCTGAACTCAGTAATCAAAATCTGAATCCCAGAAAGTGAGGGGCATGAGAAAATTATAGAGCTCAGAGAGAAGGGGCCTGGCAAAGACTTTGCAGGGGAACAGAAAGGAAAATGTGATGTCTGGACAGGGTTAGGAAGCAGAAGGTGGATTTGGTGCCAGTAGGTTAAGCATGGTCCTAGAGGAGGTGCATTTGTATGAAGGGAGGATGTTCCCCATCAGAGTAAAGCTTGTGCTGCCACAGTTTCTGTGAGTATGAGCTTGATTTTCTGTGAAGTGTGGATTTGATTACATCTAACTTGAAGATGGGGCCTTCCATAAAAACCCCCATGATTTGCATTATGTGTCTTCTCTTTTTCCAAGCTGACCAAATCAGGATTTGTGGGGGTTAACAATTGCCATTCTCAGAACCCACAGAGGAGTCTGCAGGCCCACATCAGGTAAAAAGATACATTATTGATATGTTCCAAAAGCAGGGAAATGCTGTTACTGCTACATGGGATTGCCCAGGAAGGCAAAGAGAAGTGAGGAATTCTGAATTCCTGAGCCTGCACCAGTGGTTCCCAAAGGTTTATTTTCCCTCTCAGGCTTGTTGGCTGCTGGATCTAATGGCACAATAGGTGGAGTGGGAGAGAAGCACATAGCAGGAATCTCCTGAGCACGGGACTCCCAGGATGGCAGGCTATTCAGCATTGCAAGTACTTTCACTGGATACAGCTACAGCCCCTGGGGATCTTCCCAATGCAGCAGCACTCAGCCACACAGCAGCGTTTCAAAGCAGGGAGAGCTGTTACTTACCCTTCTGCAGTGTACCCAGAGGAAGCCAAGGCATCATTTTGAAACTCACAGTGAATGGGACTGGCAACTTTTAAGTGGTGGATTATTCCCTGAGCAGGAAAGTCGTTCCGAAGGATGGTTTTCACTACAGTATTAGTCATGTTCTGCAACGCAGAAGGAAAAAAGCACAGCTTGTGAACATCAGTGTTTATAGGGATACAGCAGAGCTACAGGCTTACCAGTGTCAAATGCTCAGGTATTCTCCATTCTTTTGGCTGCAAAAATCACATTAAACCTCTAATATCTTTGTTGCTGTACAGTGAGACAATGAAAATCCTCGATTCTCCCTCACTTTCCTTCGTATCATGTCATAGAATCATAAAATCACAGAATTACTTGGGTTGGAAGGGACCTTAAAGATCATCCCATTCCAGCCCCCTGCCATGGGCAGGGACACCTCCACTAGCCCAGGTTCCTCAGAACCCGATCCAACTTCACCTTAAACACTTCCAGGGGTGGGACAATGATCCTTCCTTAGCAATGATCATTGCTCCAGAAGGGAATTTCTGTACTTTGGTCTGCTCTGAGCATAGCCTTTGGTTTGGGATCCAAGGAGATAGCCATCACTCTCTGTCCCCACTACCGGTACCAACTGAAGTATTTGTCAAAATGAGACGATGAAATTGCTTCTAAGAAAAGAGGAACTTCTGACAGCTGCAAAGGGAACCCAGAGGGAAGTGACTCTCAGTTTGGAGAGACTCTTGGAGAGCATTCGAAGGAGGACAAGGACGATGGTGAAGGGCCTTGAGGGGAAGCCGTGTGAGGAGTGACTGAGGGCACTTGGTGTGTTCAGCTGGAGAAGAGGAGACTGAGGGGAGACCTCACTGCAGTTACAACTTCCTCAGGAGGGGTAGAGGAGGGGCAGGCACTGATCTCTGCTCTGGGGGGACCAGGGACAGGACCCCAGGGAATGGCCTGGAGTTGTGTCAGGGGAGGTTTAAGTTGGATATCAGGAAAAGGTTCTTTACCCAGGGGGTGGTTGGGCACTGAACAGGCTCCCCAGGGCAGTGGTCACAGCACCAAGGCTGCCAGAGCACAAGAAGTGGTTGGATGATATTCTCAGGCACATGGTGTGACCCTTGGGGATGGTCCTGTGCAGGGCCAGGGGTTGGACTCAGTGATCCTTGTGGTCCCTTCCAACTCAGTACACTCTGTGATTCTGTGAGTTTTGCTGCCTGACCTCAAAGACTCCCCTTCTCTTTTGTGCTTGGCCCCCATCCCAAACAGAGGTAACTTTCCATCACAGGAAGGAGGTTTCTATCTCCAAAGGAGTTTCAACAACTGATAGACTGTGCACCTAACTAAGGGTCTGCCATTGCCTCTCCCCTCCCCACCCCCAGAGATAAAAGTGCTCCAGAGTTTCTTTGCACTCCCTGGCTCAGAGGACTTACAGTCTCCACCTCAGTGCCACAGTCTCTCCATCCTGCCTGCAGCACAACGTGGGTGCTGTTGCTCCTGCTCACGTTGCAGTGAGGCTCCCCCAGGTACAGGGAGGCTTCTGGGATGGACTCCTGCTGTAAAAACCTCTTCTGGATGGCCAGGACGATCTTCCCAATTTCACAGAACACGCTCACTGCGTCTTTAATGGAAGCCTCCTGGGCAGGTTTGGCAAGGGGGGCTGGAGATGCTTGAGGAGAAACATCAGGAGTTGACACGGGATCCTTGGAGAGAGGAGGCAGCACCGTGCTGGAGAATGTGGTGTCCTCCAGAGCCTTGTGCTCAGCAGCAGAGAAGTCCAGTGAAGCAGGGGAAGAAGTTTGCAAAGATGTCACAGATAAAACTGTGTTGTGCACGGGTTTCTTATCTGTCACTGTTGTCTTCTGGCTGATAGGAAGTGCTGAGGAGTGTCAAAAAAATAAAGGTACGGTTGTAATTTACAGGTTGATTTCATAAGTCAAAAGCAAGATCCAAGGAGGAAACTCACAGTTACTGGCAGGAAACTAGCTTCTTTTGTTTTTTTTTTAACCTGCTCCACTTGCTGCCAAAGCTGTGGCTTTTTTTAAGAGCCCCAGAGACACACACAGTGCCTGTCAGTAAAGCTCAAGTGCTTTATTTCCTGACAGCTGCAATAGTTAGTGTGTAAAACATGTATATACAGCTTTTGGAAGATCAGTGCCTGCGAGAGATCCCCACCTGCAAGTGGCTCAACAAGTGTTCATATGTTTTTGCTTAGTACTGCAGGAGACTCCACAGTTCTGGGTGAGGTTATAAACAGGAGCAGAGCTTGTTAAAAAAAAAACTGGGCCCATTTGTGACCAGTTGCTACCCAAAAAAATATGACCTTGAGCACTTGGAAAACCCATTTTGGGGGAAGTGTGGGACAAACCTCATGTAGCAGACCCACATTGCCCATTTGTGTCCTGAGAGAGAGTGGGGAGCTGAACAGATGTGTTGGTAGCAATCTCTAATGGTTTCAGGAAGAAAGCAAGTGGAGAAAAGGAAGGGAAAAAGAAGCACAGGTTGAGATCAGTGTGCCTGTTGAACACCAAACATCCAGCACAGGCTCTGGGGTTACCCTGTGGCTCTTTGCTGGTAGAACCATCCTAATTATTCATCCACCACTGACTTAGAGACCGTGAAGATAATAAACTCCATTTGCACTGAAACACAGAGGATGTGTCTCATTGCACAAAATTTCTCTTAAATACTTTTAGTGGCTTGAACATAAAAATAGCATCTATCTCCCAAGCAACATGTAAAATCTGTACACAAAAACAAACACACACAAACACACACACAGAGAGACATATATATCTCCTTCTGAAACTCCCCAGCTTTCAGAAATGCCCCAAATGAAAAAGTTACTGATTTGAGCAACAGAGGAAGAAAAAATAAAAGCCTGAGCTCTTTCAGAGCTGGATTTCACAAAAGCTTAATATAACATTATTATCTTAGTTAAAGAAAACTGAACTGGTTGGTATCAGTTGACAAATCGATGTGACTTCAGTGAAAGAGTTCCTTATCAATGTGGTTACAAAAGCAAATATAAATTGTTGAAGAAGCCTAAGAGAAGGAGCTTAAAGACCCATCAGACACCAGCTAACAAATGACTTGGGGAAAGAGAGAGGCCAGATGAATCAATTCGTACCAAAAGGAAGTTTGTAATACCAACATTTCCTTCCTCCTGCCATACAGAGGTCAAGCCACCTATCTAGTACTTTCTGTTACCTTCTCTGTTATGTTTTCTGTCCCCTCCTTGCTTGTGCATTCATCATAATCTGTTGGGTGGTACATTTAAGCAGAAGACAATGCTGGAGAGCATAAAAATGAAAATCTGATAGTTCTGAAACTGGAGAATAGTCAAATCACCGGGGTGTCACGATGAGATCACACCTCTTAGGTGTCATACCCTACTCTGTGTGTCAGGCAGCTGCTGGGTCTAGGAGAGGTGGGATACTGGAAGAACAGCCTAGAGGGAAAATTGCAAGGCACTGACAAACTCGTCCAAAAGCTGGGCTGCCAGTGATGCTCAGCTGATATTTAAATATAGGCACATTGCTCCTGTCCTCCTAAACTGATCAGCAGCCCAAGGGGATGCTCCTAACCCAGAGGCTTCCTCGGTTATTCCCCCATTTCACACTCCTAAGGAGGTTGTTGGGAAATTCCCAGCATGAGTGAAGCAGAAGAGTTGTGTGATTGGTCCAAATCACCATCTGGTTGCTTTCTTAATTTTTACCTGGCCAAAATTTTCACTTTTGAAAGGCAAAATATGCTTCTACTTCCCTTTCTCTTCCCAAGAGAAAAATAGGACCAGGTAAGGACATACCAACTTAGGTGGGACTCAGAAAGCAGCACCTGCTCTATGGGGACCTGTCCCTGCAATAACCATTTGTTTTAGCACAGGTTCAAGGGGGACAGGTACTCTACAAGCCCCACCATGAGATAGTTGTGATCCTACTAATTAACAGGATTTGTAACTTTCCAGATTTACAGCTGTGAGTGCAACAAGCAAAAAGGATGCACAGGGCGGAGCATAAACATGTTTCTGAAGTAATTTTGCCTTAGATTCTAATTGACAGTTTTAACAATATTCTTGGGACAAATGCACTATGTCAAGGATATTGTATTTGGTATTTTTTTCAGAGCTAACTTGTGAGCAGAATTCAGCAGCTGTTAGTCAAGAGACTAATATTTGTTACTTATTTAAATTATATATAAAGGAAAAGAAGTTGTACAATCAGCCATTGTGTTGGTCTTGGCAACATGTGGGTTTTCACCTGAACTCCCAATCCACAGATGTGTGAGAAAAACATGTGCTCCCAGTGAAGAAGAATTCACATGTTCATTTATTTCTTTCTCAGGGTTTCTATCACATACAAAATTACCAGTGCAAAGCAGAGGGCACTGTGGTTTTCAATCCTTTTAAACAGAGCTAGTTATGGTTGTGTACAAGGACCCATTTCCACTGGTAGTTTATGGACCCTAAAATTTGTGACCAGTGTATCTAACATCCCCTTACCTTCTTCTCTATAAAATTGTTTCCAGATATAGACAAAAAGAATAGTTGGTTTTGTCCTTTTGGATCAGTGGTACCTCATTTCCTATGTCATCTATTGATGTTATGTGAAAAAACTTCTTGAATGAATAAGCAGGAGCAATATAAGGAGAGAGAAAGGCTTTCCATGCATCTGTTTTACATATACATTCACTTCAAAAGATACAGATTGATAATCATCTTTCTAGTTCTGAAGAACTCTTGGGATACAAGCTGCTCCTTACCCTTTATGGAGAGGCTGCTCTTGTCAATGGTGAAGTAGGAGCTGTGTTCCAAGGCATCCCGAAAAGTGGTGATGACACAGTGGATATCCACATCTTCTGCAACCACTAAATTGAAACCTACCACCGTGCTGCCATTGCTAATACCTGTTATCAGCACTTTAATCACACCAGCATCCACCTGCTGAAGAACATCGAGGGGCAGAGATTTATGTATCTGGAATAAAAACAAAAGGCATGTGGAGATGGATGCATAGGGGCAATTAAATTTTAAGCTCCCAGAAGAGTATTATGCATTTCAACTGTGCTCCATACTCTAGAGAGAAGCAGCAGAAAATTGACCTTTTGCTTTATAACGTTTTCATTCTACAGCAGCTGAAGGATGTGGTGTATATTTAACCACGAATATTAAACAAGCCAAGCAATTAAAATATCTCGTCTGTCATTTGACACTGGTCCTTGCCCCTGGTAACAGAAAGGGAGGGAGGAGGCTGCAGGGGAGTTCCCGTGTTCTGCCTCTCAAAATGCCTCCAGGGAGAGGGGGAAATCCAAAATGAGGAAGAGCTGCCAATGGAAGTGGAGATGCTCTTGACACTACACACTGCATATATCTCTCAGAGGGGTCCCACAGCCCAGGTATGTTACAACTTACAGCAGACCACCCTCAAGCCTTTCTTCACATCTGATTTCTCACCAGAGCCAAGCCAATAACACCTCTTTTTAAGTGGCCAGAAGCACGGTAAAGAAAACAGAAGGGTGTTCTTTTTATCTGCTCTGCCGAACAGTTCAACCTCCCAGTCTTCAATTTGATTTCAGAAATATTTCATTAAAGTCTTCTGTGAGGAGTGTCATATTTTTTTTGCAACTTCTGACTGTCATCAGGGCACACAGCCCCGACTCTTGATCCTCCTGGAGAGCCCAAGAGCTGGGCTAGGAAATGGCTCTGCGCTATTTTAAATAGGAACAGTCAGCCTCAAAATATAGCAGCACCAAATCACCACTGAATTTAGGTCAGTCTAGAGAAATCAATAAAATAGGTGCTTGCAGTGTGCACAGTCACCTTGGACTTCACTGGTGGCCCAGAAAAGAAAATGCCACCTTTTTCAAAGTGCAGTGAGCCTCAGTCATGACTTGTCTGGGCAGCTCCAAAAGCTGCCTCCTTCACCATGCTGGAGAGGAAGATGGAATGCTTTCTGTGGGGTGGGAAAGCACAGCCCTGTGTGAGGGTTTGCATCAGCTTGGCTGCCCAGCCTTGCCACTGCCCAGCTCAGATGGAGCCACCAACCCCTCTCAAAGGCTGCAGCTTATGCTCAACCTCTCCCCTTCCCACCCTCCGAGGCTGGATACCTCTGGAGGGCAGCCAACCAAGGGAACATCTCCTCCTCTTCACACAGGAGAGCACTCCATGGGATAGGGCAGCTGGCCTTATGCAGGAGCCCAAGGAGGATGTACAACAGCATTTGCACTTCCAGCATCATTCCCCTTCATCTCTAACCCCAGCACCAGCCACAGGAGAAGCAGACATAGGTCAGATGGCATCATCTCATGGGAGCAACACCAGACCAGACCAAGGCTAATAAATATTAATTCAGCTTTAAAGGACATTTTGAGAAAACATCATACACAGAAATACAGACTGTTTCTGAGAAACTCACTATGAAAAGAGACTGGTAAACATCCACACATTCTCACCTCAGTCTTTTTCCTTCAGTTGCCCCGAAAAGGGGCCTGATGAGACAGCACTGGACTTCCCAAAGGAAAGCAGGGAACACACACACAGAGGTTTGCATGCCATCTAACCACAGGCAGAGCACATACCTGAAGACCAGGTGCCTGGGTAAGCCCAGACTGTGTGATACCATCCATCAATGTCCTGAATTTTTCCATTAGAACTGTATATTTTCTTCTCTCCCTCTCCCCAGAAGATGCTCACAGATCTGTGTTTCTTAATCTCCTTCACATGTGTCTAGGAAGTCTTTTTAGATTCTTTCACACTTACAGGTAGAAAGTGCAGCATAATTGGGACATAACTTTCGAGCCTGCATCAGGCAGGCAGGACAGGCTGTTCTGAGCTATCAGTATAAAAATTGCACTTAGAAACTGCCATCAAGAGTGCAAGGGGACACTGTCCACAGCAAGACAGCAGCTCCCAGCAGCACAGGAAAGACAAATCCTGTACTGACCCCATCAACCCTCCCGAGCCTGGGGTACACACAGCAGCCACCAGCCTCAATGCAGGACACAGAGAGATGGAAACAGCCAAAGAAACACCTACATTTTTTGTGATTTCTCAGCATATTTGCTCTTTGCCTTCCCCCTCCAGTGGCTGTCAGGCTCCCAGGAGAGGAAGGCACAGAGCAGCAGGGCAACCTCACCGTAAGGGCCAGACGAGCAGCACTTGGCCCAGGTCAGAGCTGTGCAGGAGAGTCACCTCTTCCCCACACCTCACTTCGCTTTAGACCCTCTCTTTAGGGTACATCACTCACTTCCCTTCCTGTGCTCAGATTTCCAGGGAATTAAGGGGCTGGGTGGGGGCTACACTGCAGCCACCTCTTCTTCCTCCACTTAACTTCTGCAGGAAATGTCTGGAGCAGGAAGGGTGGACTTCAGCCATGAGTTTAAGGCAGAGGTCGTGCCAGTGGTGTAATGATCAGAGCTGCCAGCAGTGACTCCTGCCTTGCCTCTTCTCAGGGTTTTCCCTGGCAGGAGTCAGTGCTGGGAGCCAGCAGGAGAAGCAGCCTTGTTTCTCTTGCACCCACACGCAGAGCTGGTGCATTTTCTTCTGGATTATCCCAGGTGATCACAGCTTTTGCACACCTGTGTGCCCTGCCTGTTGTGCATTACCCAGCCCCGACTTGCCCATTATCCATTATCCAGCCCTGGAGACAGCCCCAGGATTTGCAGGCACACTCATTTGCAGCCCTTCCCTGAGTCATCAGGGCTGTTGTGTGTTGCATGTGCTGGGTGGCAAAGTAACATTGCACAGAACAAACCCCCTGCATGCACCTAGAAAGGGCTCCCATGTGCCTGCAAATCCCACGTAGCAAACCTTGCAGTGCCCCATGAGATGGAAACAGCTCTTCCCTATAAAAGCCTGGGCAGACCGTAGGTTGTCCTTGTCAGACCCAAAATCTCCCATTTCACCAAGCTGGGGGCTTTGGGCCCCTTCTCCTCTCTCTTTCTGCTGTTTCACAAGCAGGTACTGAAAAGTTGGAGGTCAGCCCTAAGCTTTCATCTTTCATAGTTTTTGTCTGAACTTCTGGACATTGAATACAAACACCTGTGACATCCTCTTAGCCCACCCTGATTTCATCCTCTTTCCTTATCTATCCTGAAAAATGTATTTTTTCAATTCTTCCTTTTCACAGAATCACAGAATCATTTAGGTTGGAAAAGAGCTCCAAGATTGAGTCCAACCTCTGATCAATCCCCACCTTGTCAACTAGACCAGAGCACTGAGTGCCATGTCCAGTTTCTTGAACATCTCCAGGAACGGGGACTCCTCCTTCTCCCTGGGCAGCCCCTTCCAACGCTTAACAAGCCTTTCAGTGAACAAATTCTTCCTGATGTCCAACTTGAACCTCCCCTGGCACAGCTTGAGGTCATTTCCACTTGTCCTATCAGTGTTTCCTGGGAGCAGAGCCTCACTTCCACCAGGCTCCAACCTCTCTTCAGGGAGTTGTAGAGAGGGAGAAGATCCTCCCTGAGCCTCCTTTTCACCAGGCTAAACACCTCCAGCTGCCTCAGCCTCTCCTCATGTGACTGACTCTCTAGAGTTTGCTTTGTTTCTGTCCTTATTCGTATTTTTCCTCCCAAAGTAGATCTCGCAGCTTTAAGTGTCAGGGGACATTCACTGTACTTGTGTTTAGCCACTAGGTGACACTACAAAACCCTTTATGCAAAAGGCTTCAGGATTTCACAACAGGTACCACACCCCGGGTTATCAAAACAATGCTTGATGAAGGAGGGCTAGAAGAAAAGGGGAAAAAAGAGAACTTTTTGGAAAGAAATATTCAGTACCCTTGGGCATGCGGTTTTCTTATAAGACAAATTATCTTTGAGTCTGTCATTGTATTTACAATTTCTGTAGCACATAAAGGAAACCTGAGCAGAGCAGGAGAAATCAGAATGCCAGAGGAGTCACAGAAAAGGGAAAGAACATGAGCAAAATTAACACCAGCTCCCTTTCTCAGGCAAGAAGAACAGGAGGCAGGTAAAGTCCGTTTTCAGGGCCAGCTGGAAGCCACACTAAACTCAATTTAACAGGATGGAAAAGGCCAATTTTTATATTTTTTTTTTTAGGAAAAGGGAAGTGGCAAACCCAGGCAGCCAGGCTTACCCCAGGGATGGCTGTGGCATGTTTGGTGGGTTTTCTGGGAGCACCCATCCATGGGTCCAGGGGAAATGTCAGCAGCCACTGAGGAATTTAATGCACCTCAGTGAATGTATTTTCAATTCAAACCTTTTGTCTTTACTGATCCATTTTCTCGAGGACAAGCCCTAGTGTCATGATATTCTTCTTGGCTGTTTTCAAAGACAGGATAAGCACACCCCAAGAAGATTAAAACACTCCCTCACCCTCAGCTATGTTGTTTTTCAGTTGCATTGCAAGTAGAATGGTGAAACTACCCTGGACAATGACAGTGCAAGCTGTCCCATCAAGTTTTTACCTCCTTCTGATCTACACATTATTTAAAGGATGATATTTCCATTTGCTGTACTGCCAATTTAACCACATGGCACTTAAGTGCTGGGGCTAAAGAACATTATACGCATTAGGATTTATAAATCCTCTGAATTGTAGATAGTGATTCCAAAGAGGTTTTAAAACATGTCTCAGGCAAAGTGTATTTAACTGGAACCTGATAGTGCTTTTAAAACCCATAGAACTTTCCTAACTCACTTTAAAGGATCCATTTCTGGTCCTCATAACCTGAAAAGAAAATCTGCAGATCTTTCTGGTCTCCTAAACTTCATTTCCTTTGGCTTCTAAAAATGCAACATTTGTAATATTATTTTGCTATAATATTTTTTGCCATATCCAGTAGCTATGCAACTACTGACTATATAGAATGGCTTAGAGGTGGGAAGGAATCAGCACTAGCACATCTCACCAGCTGACCCACAAAGCTGGAGTGCTGGAAAAAGGAATTAGTTATTTACAATCACAAGTGGTCATTTTCTGCCTGAGCGCTTGAGAACCAGGTATAACTGACACAAAACTTACTTTTGTTCCTTTATGCCATCATTTTACAATTTTTCCAAGCATACTTGTAGCTGTGATTTTCTGGATTAAAATATCTGACTGAATGAAGAAAATATATTAATTTTAGTCCGTTTCAACACTATGCTGTTCTGAAATAGCCCCAGGGCAGAATGTGATGCTGAATGAGAGTGAGGTCAGTGGAGAATTGCTCCCTTTTCACTTTGCTAATCACGTCACTCTGCTTTTTTCACCGTTTTCCTGATGTGACAGCTCGGGGCCGGAGCAGCTCCATGAAAGCTGTGCTGGGCTAACACATCCAGAAAGGTGCAAACCAGCAGCGGCCACTGGGAAGCTGATTTGATATCCAAGAAGACAACATCATGCACAGATCAATGGACCACCCTTTTCCCTCCTTGCAGTTGTCTCTGACCCCACGCTGGCCTGAGCTCTGCCCCAACACGCGCTGCCGTCGGGGCACCCGCTGGGTTCAGCTGGGTCTCAGTGCCAGGCTGTGACTCTGCACATGGTGAGTTTAGGGAAGCCTCAGCAGGGTTTGAAATTCATACAATTATCAGCAGTGGATTTGTCACCGCAGTTATCAAGGCCTCTGGATAAACAGACAGTAAAGGGGAGATAAGGAAGACAATAAAGCACAACCGGAGGTTTTTTCAGGCGCGGGTGTGTCTGAGTGAGCACCAAAGGAGCAAAACAAATTCCCTACAAAATTAGAAGAGTGATACTGTCAAAGCCAATGCCTGAGAATTCTGAGAGTGTTAAATGTGCAGAGGATATCACTGTGTGCTTTGATATCCTGCACTCTAATCAGAACTGAGAGCAGAGGTGACATGACAAGAAACCTTTCCCTTTCCAGATACGGGGCTACAAAAACAAGGATGATTATAAGAACTGTCAGCCTTGAGGTACTATAACAAAGGGTAATAGCAATCATACAGTTAATTAATCTAGTGCTGTGCAGGGCAAAGGTAGCAGAGCTCTTTGCAAGTTCCATTAACTTTTCACCACACCCCTGGAGGAAATCAATAATCCAGTACAACTGGGTGTGAAAAGCAGAGGATATGGAGGCACCAGAGAACCCCCAAACCCTTATCTTCCTCTAAAACACAGCTGTACACTCATCCTGCAGTCTCAGACAGTTGGGGGAACTCAGACTTTACAGAGCTGTGCCAAGGGACACACATGAGCCTTCATGGGAGAAAGACCATACACATGGTTTCTTTGAGGCAGGTAACAGGTCATATCCTTATAAACCACTTACTTCATCAACAAAGAGCTGTGCAAAGGTTTGATATTCCTCACTGCTGGTATTGCTAAAGCCTGGGGAGTATTTCACATTTGTTATCCGAACTGTGCCACTGAGCTTCTGGACAGCTGCAAAGTAAGAAAAAAAAAGACAGTTTAAATTCATGTTCTAGGGATTGTAGCCCATGGACAAGGGTGTGACAGTCTCCAGCATGCCTGGCCACCTGGATATCTGTATGCATCAACTCATAACAGCAGAAAGCTTGAATGGTATCCAAAAGTCATCCAGCACCTTAGTCTGCCCTGTCTGAGCCCCAGATGACTCTCAAGAGGGGCACTGACCTTCTGTAAATCTTATATCTGCCAGCTCTGTCTGGGTTGCTCAGTTAGCTGTCCCACCAGTCCCTCCAGAGGGCAAACCACTGCAGCACCAGAGGAAGGCTGGGCAGCTGCCTGAGGTTGGACATCTACACTTTAGACAGCTGTGGTGGGATAAGATGAATCCCAACAGGGTGTATTCTTTCCCCCTGAAATCACATCACGTTAAGGCAGTCTCAAACATTTTAGCTTATTTCCTGATATTGCTGGTTTTCCCAGTTTCTCTGGGTTTGGCACTGTTACCACAGATACTGGAGGTGATCAGAGGTCAGATAAAAGGGCTCCTCAAGACATGGTTTGTACCCTTGGCATCCTTTTAGTGGCTTGCCTGGCAAGTTGACTGCCATCACTCAACACTGTGACCACTGCCAGCAACTCATCTTCCCTCTGCCTCCCAGCTGCTGACAGGTCATCACCCCTGGCATACCAAGACCTAATGTTACAATGGTTTATAAAAATATGGGATAGTCTTCACGAAAACCCTCAGGGATTCTGTTATCTGATTCAGTTTAAAGTTGTTTGTGAGTCAAGTTACAAGTCTTTGCTCCCTGGTGCAGCAGCTTGCTTCGCTCCCTACACACTCCCATCTGCATTTCTACAGTGTGTAAGGCACCAGGTTACAGCTCTGAGACTGTCAGACTCCTGTTCTGAGTTTTAGTCTCCCATATTTCTGAAACCTTGCTTTACAAGAATTTTAAAGCAGGGTTCTGCATAAACTCTGTGGGCCACTTTACAGCAAAGTTGGTTCTAGTCACATTGGGATAATAATCATTTGAACTGGGACAGGATCTGGAAAAAAAGAAATAATTATCAAGTAAAGCTTTGCAGGGGAGAGGAGAAATGCCTGCTTGAAGCAAGTCACTGAAGGAGGCTTCCTTTATCCCAGCATACTTCTGATCCTGAAGGAACCCCCTCCACCACCAGTCCAATCCAAGATTTTGGGCTTGCTTTTTTGCTATGCCTTGTGTCCTGTCAGGTGAACATAGGGATCTGAGGGGTGAATCACATTCAGTTATCTCAGGTGAGAGGGGGAAATGTTCTGAACAATTCTCAAATGAAAAAAAACAACAACAATATTTAAAAGACATGACAGACTATGAAGAGTTGGCTGAGGTTGAGCCTCCAGGTCAGAGATGATGCCACAAGGAGGAGCTACATATTAAACTCCACCAAATATGGATTTTTGCCTTCTAAATTCCTGCCCCAGGCTAGTGAGATGCCACCATGGTGGTTCTTGCTCTTGTTCCTCAGGCATAATCCCTTCACAAGCTTCATTCCCAGCAAAGGCCCTTGGCTGAATATTTGATTCAGGGAAAAGAAAACAGTTTTTTTATAAACTGAACTTGTGTAGAATTCTTCAATTTTTTTTCCAGTTGAAAAAAATTACCTCTATTTTTTGGTCGGTTAAAATTAGATTTTGATATTAAAAAAAAAAATTGTTTTCATTAAAAACAAACAAAACCCCCCATTTTTTTACTCATCCCTACACTGAAAGGGGGCAGGGGAAGACAAAGCAAAGCTGTAAGTGAAGGTTTTCAGTTCAGCATAACAGGCTTTTCAGCCCAAAATTATCTGTTTCCTCTCTTTGACCACTGAGGTCCCAAATCAAGTATTTGTCCATCTCTCTTCCAGGTTTCATCCATGCCAAGCAGAGCCAAGGAAGAGAGAAGACAGAAGCTGAGCAGGGCATTGGCAGGGCTGCCCAGAGCCTGTCAGGGTGGCAGGAATGGTCACCCTGGCACTGGTGAGTAGGGCTGGGGGTAGGAGAGGCTGGAGGAGCAGCAGAACTGGCCTTACACGGCTGAAAAAATGATTTTCCAGGGAGAAAGGAATGAGGGAGAACTAGAAGCAGAGCTGGATAAGGGGAGACCACCATAAACAGGAGATCATAGGGGAGGGAGAGAGGAAAGAGCAGAGGTGAGTATGGTTTGGGATGAGAGAGATGAGGAGGGCACCGAGAGAGAATAAAGATAAGCAGAAAGAAATCTGAAATAACTACTGAATAGAAACACACTACAGAAGAAAATACATCTAGTGATAGGCAGAGACAGCAGCATTCCTATCCCAAAAAAAGCTGTAGTTTTAAAGACCAAGTCTGACTGTAACTTTGAAATATGATTCAGCCCCGACCAACAGAAAAATCCCCTAATTAGCTGCAACACATCTGCCCAAACCCAAACAGATTAAGCCCTCTCCGACAGCCTTGTTATTCTCAGTTACAGCTCTTGAAAAAACATCTCACAGGTTTCCAGGCAGCTCCTGCCTCACAGGGGATTTATGGGGGACTCTGACTCATCATCCTCTGGTGAGAGGAATAGGAAGGCAGGTCGTTTGCCTCCCTGGCTCTCTAAGTTAACTCTATAGGCAGCTGCTGCTGCAGTGCCCTGGTGCCAGAGGATGCAGGAGAAACCAAGATGTGTGGCAAAAGGACAAGCAGCAAATGCTGTGATGAGCCACGCTCAGTGCATCCTGAGTGCTTCCTCCTATTTGTGCTTCCTCCTCTATTATGGGTTTCCTCCTCTTCGAGATGAAGAAATGTAACACAGATAAAACCAACCGCCAAATTGCCAGGAAGAGAAATCATTTTGAGAAGCTGATTTAGAAAAAAAAAGTGCCAGCTCCTGCAGGAAAACAATTTTGACACCGAAAAACTAGTTGCAGACACCTTCATCCCAGAGCTCTGATTCCAGCCGTGCATCTTTGTTGACTTTGAGAGAGGCTTTGCTTCTCACACAGCTGAATTACTGTGGGTGTGGATCCCCACCATACTCACTGTGATCCATAGCTGGGCCTGGCATCAGGCTGGGAGCTGGAGAGGCACCTGGAAAAGCTGGAGACCCCAGGGATCCAGTGTATTCCTGGGACCAAGAGCTGTTTTCTCTTGCCACCTCCACATCTGCTCCAAGAGTGGCGTTGAGGGTGGGAACACCAGCATTCCCTGTGGCCAGCAGAGCTGTGCCAGGGCCACCTCGAGAGCTGGCCTGGGGCACACCAGGAATTCTGGTGGTAGCAGAGGCTGTTTGATTTGGAAATGCCAGCAATGGGGAGCTGAGTTGCTCCTGCCCAGCTGTGCCCATGGGAATGTCTGTGAGAGCAGCCTCTGGCTGTGGTGCTCCAGGGGAAGCCTTTTCCAGGGAGCTTTGCTGCCATGGACTTGTGTCTGCCCGACTTGCTGTGCTCACAGCCAGTGCCTTGCTGGTTGTGGTCCCCGTGGCTTTGGGGCTGTCAAAGCCCACCTGTGCTGCCAGACCTTTTTTCCAAGGGGCTGAAGGAGCACTGGTGGGACACACTTGTTTGTCACCCAGGGGCAGCGAAGAGGCCGCTGTCTCAGTGGCAGCAGGAGATGCAAGACCTGCAGGGCTTCCTTCTTCAGGAGCAAACTCTGTGCTGTTTCTTGTTTCAGGAGCCATTGTTTCAGCCAGAGGATCCACAATCTCACCTACAACACAGGAAACACATTTAAATGGGACCTCAGGCTGGAAGAGAAAGCACCGGGGTCTGACCTGAAAATGATACCAAGGCCCCTCAACCACATGTTAGAACATTGCAGAAACAGCTCTTGGCTATTCATTAACACCCTGTAGCATATGTGGGTTTTATAGGGCTGAATCTTCTTTGTGACTACACAAAGAGGCAGATTTGATTCCTGGGTCTCCTCTTCTGCTTGCCAGGCCATGGACCTTTACAGTGGGAGGAAATTAGCCACAGACACACCAAAAGAGGAAAAATTACTCCTTGTTGCTCATCAGTCAGTTATTTCAGAGGGATTTCATCTGAAGAGGTATATATATATAAGGTTCAGAGACAGATCAGATACAATCTTTCAGCCAGAGACTGCAAAGGTGCAATTACATGAACAGATGGCATAAAAGCAGAGGTAAAACCCCACAACTTATTCCAACATTTCATGGCAAAGAAAAACCACATGCCAGTCTTTTGCTCACCCTCACAGTTCCTTCCAGGTCTGGATGGATTGGTATCCATGGTTGTCTTGCATCTGCACATGTAGGAGCCCATCAAATTGATACACTCTGCAAACACAGAGCAGTCATTCTCGGTGTGAGAAGCACATTCATCCCAGTCTGCAGACCAAAACAAGAACATGGGTCAGAAAGCCTCCCTTCTGGCTGCATTAAGATGAAAATAATAATAAAGCAGTCATTTTTAAGTTTATTAATGTGGTCTTCCTTTTGCATCATTTATCTGTCAGCCAAGCTGAGTGATGGAACACACTATCTGCATGGTTATCCTCTCAGATATAAAAGTTTTGCTCTTGTACTCTGAAAAATATTTTCTCTGTGTAAAGGCTTCTTTAACAATTATTTTTAGAAGTAAAAACTTACTTGAAGTGACAAAAAATACTGCAGGTTTGTGCTATAGCCATATCAAAAGCACACACTATACCAAGTTCTGTGTGCAGTACCTCCAGATACATCAGGAAATTAATAGATCTGTTACCATTAGCTACTAGTAGCTAGTGAACATTAAATAGAGACTTAATCCAAATAATCTTCCGCATCAAATAAAAAGTAAATGCAAATAACTCCCACGGGAAGCACTCTTCCATTCTTAACAAAGGAAGGGCTAAGGGCAAAATCTCTTTTTACACAAGATTTCTTCTCAAATGTAATACTGTAAAACTGTGACCCTCTTTCTGGTAGTCTCAGAAAATAGCTTCTGGTTCATCAGTGCATGGATATGCTCTAAGGATGTCCCTTATGTCTGGTTTCAGCTGCTCTGAATCAGTTAGAGATGCTTCTTTCATGCAATTATAGACCTATTTTAATGCTGAGTCTCTTCGCTCTGGAGGGATTCATGTCTGATGTCTTGTATTGCTTTTCACACCCTGTTCCAGCAAACCTGCAAAGGCTGAGTTAGTGCTTTGGACATGAATAATGTCAGTGAATCCCACGTGAGCCCTCCCTGTGTGCACTCCCTCATGGATACACCTTCCCTGCCTCAGGGCTGTGAGAGAGGGAGAGCAGCAAACCAGACTGAAAACTGTGTCTTGGGACAAATAATTCTAATCAGAGGCAGAAAATTGTTTTGAACAACACATTAGCACAAATGCTTGTTCTGCAAACAGGCAGAGATTAATGACTATGATTATTTGTCCTAAACAAAGGAATGCCCCATTCTGTGTGCATGCACATACATGCACTCCTCTTTCTGCTTGCAGACAGCCTTCCCCTTTTACTTCCTTTCAGATAATACTTCAGTTCTTTTCCTTTCTTTGTCATTAGCTAATTGTTGTGTCCATGATAGCCTCCATCAGACAACTTCATGTGCCTGTGGCCAGCATCTGCTTATTATATTACAGCCTAAGCCACTTAGAGGGAATACAGAAAAGTGCAGGATTGACTAAACACCAGCAATGAAAGTGCTCTCATTAATTCCTTACTGTGCTGTGAAGTAATTGCGACTCCTGATGGCTTCACACACCATCCCGTGCTAATTGCCAAATAACTTACATTCACTGGCTCCATTGTCTCTGAGGGTTTCCTTTCTCCTCACTTAACACGGCTTTTTAAGCAAATTCCTTCACCTCTGATGGCCACACTCAATCATGCATCAGCCCAAAACACTTTTGTTCCCATCTCAGTGCTCACTGGCACTAGTACATCACTCTGGCATGTAGGTACACACACACACAAACACACAGCTCTTTTTATCTCTATAACCATCACACCTCAGCCAAGGTGTGCTCTGTGCTCTCTTTCTGCTCTCTTGGCATCTCTCTGGCCTTTCACATTTGGCACTTCCCTACACACACACCCCTCAACCAACAGTCCTGCTCTGAAAATTATAAAAAACCCCACCTTTGTGTTCGCTGTGATTACCCATTATATTTGTAAGGGACACATGCAGTGGGTAAAAATCTGTGACATTCCTTGCCTAATGATGTTGCAGGTGCTGAAAGCCTGCTAAAAGCATGATTTCACAGGAAACACACTGGAGAAGAAACCCAAAGGAATCATTTTGGATTCAGGCAGTCCTGGAGCTGAAAACAGTTGGTGGGTCAGAGTAGTGGTGAGAGGCATCACCTTCACTTGCTGTACTCTTACAGTTCTCCAGGAATTGGCTCCTGGCTGCTACTGAGGATGTGATATTGGGCCTGACTCACCACACATCCCTTTCTCTTTTCTTACCATGCCTCACACAACAGATTTTATTGTCTCTATTCATCATGGCAATAAACTTAATAATTTATGCATCTTCAAAGAGAGATGCAATTCCTCCACTCCCTTCAGTTGTTCTCTCCCTTCTGACTTCTCATCCCTGCTTTTCACGGTTGAACTCACTGTCACTAAACCAAGCACAAAGCCTTGTGGTGGCCAGGCTCCACAGAGGATCCCCCTGTGGGATTACTGGGTTTACTGCCAAAGGTCACATCCTGGGGCTCTCAAGGGTCAGGAAGCAAAAAACGCCCCATTATACAAATCTTTCCTTCGTGTTCTTCACTCCTTATTTTCCACATTTGACTTAGGAAACTCATGTCAAACAAATGTTCCTTTGGGCAGAGCTAAGAAATAACCCGTTTTCTCTGCCCCTAAGGAGGAGTGGAGGAGTTGGCCATGCTCCTGGATGAGAGTGGTGCTACTGGAAGCCACCTGCTTTTCTGCAATCCAAGTGACAGTCCAGAGCTATTACCTTCCTCCTCCACACTCTCCGTCCCAGGATCAATAACAATTGTAAAGTATTTTGGCACACATCAGCATCTTGCAATTCAGTATCTGCTGCCACTGGGATATCTGTGGCCTTTGGATGCAATTTGTCTCTTCTGTTTTTTTCCTGTCCTGTTCTCCTTAACCTCCACATGCTCTGCACCTTCAAGACTCCAGAAGGAGTTTTCCCTGCTCACAGTAAATAAGCTTTTAAGGGCTCAACACACTGGGAGAGAAGAATAACCTATTCTGTTGGCTTTGGCAACTTTCTGAACTCTGGCTGTCTCTGCCAGCTGGGAAACCTGAAGCCAGAACTTAGTCCTTTGAAGATAAAAATGGTGATTGCTGAAGATCAAACAAAGGCCTCGTTTAACATAAATTCCATGTGTGTTTCTTTAGTCCTATTTACAGGAAGGACATTTGGGAATTTCTCTGGCCGGGTTTCCAGAGTGAAGATGTTAGATTTCTTTTCTTAAACCCTGGCCCAAACACAGCCCCACAGTCTTGAAGCACAAAACTGTCTGGAGGGAGTGTGTATCCAAAGGCTGCAAATATTCCACAGTAATCCTATCTGCAATTCAGCATGAGAAAGATATGGCAAACTTCCAACTGGGGACAGAGAGGAGAGGGAGGAAAATAAATAGGGAAACTAAGGGCTCAACTCCTTAAAAACACTGGAGGGAAGCAGTGCCTGCAGGTACCTGGGGACAGCCAATACTCCTTTGCCTGACCCTTCCAGGCTTATGGATAAAGCTCATGGAGGAGCTGTCACATCATGGTTTTCCCTCCAACAAACCACATATTTTTTCTCCCTATAAAGCACATTTTGTGAAGAATACTGGTGAGTGTGATCAAAGCAAAAACCCTGTTTTCTTCTTTAGAAAAATAATAATAATAAAAATTACCTCCTACTGCAGTGTTTTGCTGATCCACCAAAATCATGGAACTGTTGTGCAGGTAGGAAAGCACTGGGGCAAATGTGGAGGCATTGACTGGAAGCTCAGGATCCTGCACAGTGATTCTGAGCCTCACAATGACACTTCCAGCCTGCAGGGATTCAATCTGCAATTTCAGCTTCCCAGATTTGTATAAAGCAGAAATGTCAGGTGGAAATGAATGTTCAAGCTGAGCAAAGGGAGAGAAGCATCGACAATTAGGAAGCCAACAGGAAAACCTCCTTTAAAACTCAATTAGGATGCTACATTTTTAAAGATTTATGTATGCACAACATAGAAAATGTTGTAAAACAAGTGCCAAAGCATTTCAGAAATCTTTACTTCTCAGAGATTATTGAGGCCCAAAGTAATGTGAGTCTCCGTGGTACACCCTTTGAAAATGGTATCCATCTGACCACTGATCTTACAAACCAAACTTCATTTTGGCTCAAGGGAGAAGGTTCCCTCCTGGTCCTGTTTGCCTGGGCCAGAGCAGAACTGGCCCAGCTCATGTTAGCTCTGTATGTCATGCAAGTGTTTTGTCCCAAGCCTCCTGTATACTCACCTCTGCACTCCCAGAATCTGGAATTGGATCATCTCCCCTGTGCCTTGACCAGCATCTGGCTTGATTTTGACTACTACCAGCTAGGAGTCCCCCAGGGAGGGTTTGCCTTTTGCCACAACCCTGGGTCCAGTCCCAACAGGCAATCCCAGTGTGACCACTGTGTTTTGGGAGACCCAATTGCATGGATGCAGGCTAGTTTGTGCCAGTTAGGGTTAGTGCCAGAGAACGGCTCAGGAAATATTTCATTTACTATTGTAGGCATAGGTATAGTTCCTAAGGAGTATTTGGAACTCACCAGTTCAAGTTCATCCTGCAGCTGAGTCCAATAATAAAGAAATCTCAGGGTGAGAGACAAGAAAAATGGTGGTGGATAACTTCAATAAAATGTGTTTGAGACAGCCCAGCCTCAAGGCAATATCACAATTACACCATGGTTAATTACCAGCCTGGTGAGCAGTCACATCAGCTGAACAAATGGCATTGCTCTGAACAACAAGGCTGGCACACTGCTGTCAATATTTGAGCTGTGCAAGAATTGGAAGTTCTTCCTTACTCCTCTAGAAGGCAGCTCCTTGCTTGAGCCTTTGTTCCTTCATACACCTCAAAACATGCCTTTGAGCACGCATTGCAGAGCCATAAATCAGCACAGCTTCGTTCCCATTCAGTCAGAGTTTGCTCCAAAAAATTCCTACAAACAAGCTGTTTGACTGGTCTAAGCTCACGTCAGGGTGGGGAGGCAAGAAAAGGAGGAGAGAGGAAGTGAGAGGGGGATGTTATGCTCCCAAACACCCAGGGAGGCAGAGACAGCACAGATGGGAAATGCTCCTTTTCCTTCACAACCCCATGATGCCAATTAGATCTGCATTAGTCTCAGAGAAGATTCACTCACCAAAATCCTCCTACACAACAAAAGTGAACAATTTGCAACCGTGGGAAATGAAACCGTGTCAGGAGGTTCAGCTTGCAGTTTCTCATAGGCAAATCCTCTCCCCTGCTGCCTTTGAAAGTAAAGCTCCATTATTGGTGTTGGGTTTTTTTCCCAGATTTAAATTTACTTATATTTATGAGTCACCCTTTGTTTTGGGAAAGTCTCATTTTGGATGGAGATCCCAATTCCTCTGTATGGGCCCTGTTCTCTGCAGCAAAACTGTAGGAGATTGCTCCATCTGAAACTCCCCCCCCTTTTTTGGGAAGCCGAGAGCTTGTAATGGGCTTCATGACTCAAGTTTTGTTTGTGGCTGGTTACACCTGAGCATGGACAGTGGCTACAATTGTGCAGGCAGTGAACGTGGCTGGAGGAGAAAGCCTGATCCAGCCACTTTTCCTAAAAGAAGAAAGAGCTTTGAGAGCAGTCAGACATTTATTGAGACAACAGCGCTGAAATGAATGCCAGGAATGTCATTTCAATAACCCATTAAAAAGCCTCAAGTCAATTCAGTGTGAGTTTATTGCCAAACTAAAGATCCAAGATCCTGTTGCATGCCTGCATTTATAATTCCTTTACTCTTCTGTGGGGGAAAATTCTCACTGGCTCCATTGCTAACAAGGCCAGGGGCTTGATATGTCTAGTCAGTTGAATTTTGTTTTAATTATAAAGAAAGGTCACAGGAAGCAGCATGATAATTTTCAAGGGATATTTCAGCCAGGCATAAAGTCCTCTAGTAGACTAAATGAATCTTAAATGGAAAAAAAATATATTACCCACAGATATTTTAATGTTACCTCTGTAAGAAACAGCCTTGAAAATTCTGCATATGCTGAGCTGCTGGAATTATGGAAATCATCAGTGAAGTTGTAGTTGAGAATCCTTAGAGTAACATCAAATATCTGGGCCTCTGTAGGACACAACATTAAAACACACACTGAGAAAGGAGGAGAGGAAAGGATTCAGTCAAAACTGATGTACCCAGACCAAAATCTCAGATGATGGAAGGAGAAGGGAGGATGAAACTGAGAGAGTTTGATATTAAATAAAGAAAATACAGCCAAAAGGCTGCTACGAGTGTCCTACACATTGAGAAGATGCACTTACCTCAGGCCCATAGAGACACTGAGGTACCTGATTGCTACTACATGAAAACTGGGTATACACATACCTTTATATGTGGGTATACTCATATCTGGACCTGACCCTACATAACTCCTGACTTGAAATTACATCCAGGGTTGAATTGCCAGTAAGTTCATTTTGGCCCACCAATCAAAATATTTTTGTTTATTTTCCTCGTCTTGGTAGTATGGATAATAAATATATTCCTAAAGTGAAAATATAACAAAAAGCAGTGCATGGAACTTCTCTGGTGAGCCCTGACAGATAACATAAGGAGCACAGGAGCCAAAACCAAGAGCCAAGGAATCTATAACTGCTGTAGCCTGTATAAACAGTCTGAGGCTGTTACTCTTTGGACTGATCTTTGGAAAACTTTTCTTTTTCTCAAGGGCTCCAGCTTCACATTCTGAAGTTCAGCCCTCTGTTTTCATAACCACTAGACCTCCTACGTTCCCTCTACAAAGGGAGTAATTTCCTTCTGACCCAAACTGGAGTCATCCTTCATCTGATCAAAGGGAAGGCTCTTATGGATAAACATGAACAGCAGCAGTCTCACTGTGGTCAGTAATAAATACTTCACTGCCTGCTCTTCAAAAAAAAAAAAATGGGGAGAGATTTATTTCTTTATTTGCATGAAGGCCTAGGAAATAATTTAAGGCCAAAGGAAAAGGAAAATTATGTTTGATCAACACACAGGAAGCCACCATCACTGGTTACTTGAACCAAACTGGGCAGGTAGTCTGTAAGCTTTCTTACTCAGCTCTTGTTATTCCCTTTAATCCTTTATTCAGCTGAATCTGCCCTTCCTCCTGGCACTTTTGTTAGCTCAGCTGAGCCCTTGACAAACCAGTTGACTGGATTTCTTGCTAGCCACAGGCATCAGCCAGGAAAAATGGGGCCTGATGGGAGACGAGTGGCAGCAGAATGCAGTGCCAGGCACCAAAGAAAGGCAAAAGAGAAGAATTCTAGATTAGCCTGATGTCTGTAATAGTTTAAGTCAGCTCCAGCACTGCTTTATCAACTAGTGCTTTATAGTCTGGCTTGGATAAATGCTGGGAAAAAAAGTGATGAAATGTGAAGATGATGGGAAATGTTGTTCAGCGAGGACCAAATGGATCATTGCTGAACTGCAGGTGAAGGGAGAGCAGCTTCAGGGAGAGAGAAGGAAGGAGAGAGGGAATATATTTTAAGTTGTATATCTATTTTAATATATCTTAAAATGCATGTATATTTGAAGGTGTCTCTTTTACCTGTTTTAACACTTTGACGGGAGATGATGGTTTTTCCACATGTTTCATAGCGGACCTCGACTGAATACATCACACCTGCTTCCAGATGAGACACATCCATTTTCATTTCCTCTGTCTTCAGGTCTTGGACAGTCTCCTGGCCCTTGAACACTTGGACTTGGAAAGTGTGGTTCAGAGGAGAAGTGACATGCCAGGACATTTCAAAACTGTTGCTGGTAACGCTGAAGATTCGGTGGTTTGTCACTGCAGAAGGATCTACTGACGTCCCAGGAAGAGTTAGCACAGAAAAAGCAGCATTTCACCTCTAAAGCACTGTGCTATTCTAGCTCCACTATAGACAAGCACTTTGACAATCAATAGGGTAAAGGTCCTGTTTAGGTCAGGACAGAATCTGCCCCCCTCACACTGCCAGGTCCCCTCACCCATGAACCATCCCACTGGAGTGGTTAATTTGGTGCTTACTCGTTTCATTTCCCTTTGCTATATGTATTTGTGTTGACTCATAGAACCCTAGAATGGTTTGGGCTGGAAGGGACCTTAAAGGTCATCCAGTTCCAAACCCCCTGCCATGGGTAGGGACACCTTCCACTATCCAAGGTTGCTCCAAGCCCCGTCCAACCTGGCCTTGGACACTTCCAGGGATGGGGCAGCCACGATTTCTCCCGGCAAACTAATCTCCACTGAATGTCTAGGAACAATAATAACCGGGCAGTGAGCTACAGGTGCAAGCAACAGGAATAGTTTGGAAGAGTGAATCTGTGTACTCTTACATGTGTTGACACCTGCTTTGCCTCTTGTCACTTTAATCACCAAAATGCACCTCTTCAGGCAAAGGTTGTCTGGATTTATGCCCGGAAAACCCCCACAGACCCCAGCTTGCAGAGGCTGGGGGCAGAGTGGTGTGCAGCACTGCACCTGTTATTCCTCTCTAGTCCAGTGAAATCGTTGTCATGCCAATGGGAAAAGACAAGACCCTTCAGAGATGATTCCTCCTCGAAGGAGGAGGTGTCTAAACTGGGTAGGATGAATTGCCCTCCAGCAGAGCCAGTCTGTCTCCACTAACTAGAGAGAGATCCCAGACTAGACACCTCTCCTGCAGAAGCTGGGGTCAGGTGAGATGAGCATCACATCCCATGCTAACACGGAGACCATGTCATTCTGCTACCTCAACTTCAATTCTTTCATGCTGATGGTTAGACTAAGAAAAAACGTTTGTTTTTGTAAGTTGCTTCAATAATAAAAAATTGTTTCCAGGACTCTGAGCCAGGTGGTTGCCAAACACCCCCGAAGCCATCCCCCCCTGCACTAGAGGTGCCTCAGTTTAATTCCTCTAGCTTCAGCTTGGATCAGAAGATGTGGATGAAGATCAAGAATATCCAACCTGTCTCTCTGAACTCAGCAAAGAACTACTGAAAGCTATTTCCTCTCACAAGAAGGACGGGGTGTTTTTAAAAGGGCTGTGATAACTCTTATCTGAAAGGAATCTAGGAGTGACTGAATTAAAATCAAGACAATATTCATTAAAATCCAAGATAACTTACAGCATCCAGCATCTGCAGATTGGTTAGTTATGGACAAAAGACTTGAATTCATTACAGAAGGAGAGCTATTGCTGGTACTAATGGCATCTACTGCTGAACTTGGAGTAGATGCTGCAATGCCTAAGGGGAAATAGTGTTATCAAAGAGTTAGAGTATTCCTAACAAAGCAAATCCCAAATAATACCATTCATGTTTTCCACAGCTGGAAAGCAGCAATAGAAGTAACATAAATAGAAAATAAGTACATTATCATATCACAAAAGCATAAAATAATACATTATCTTAATTTTTGAGATTAAAGGATTGTAGAATTGTTCTCTAGCTAAAGTATCGAATCTGTAAGCAGTTACTCATCTCATTAACTTAAAGCCTATTATCAGGCCCATTGATGCCTGTGGGCTTTAAGTACATGCCTCTATATTTTGCTGGGCTGGTACCACAAGGTATTATTTCATCCAGTGCCAAACTCCAGCTCTCTGCAGTAAAGGACTAGGGAACAGTGGAGCAGCTCAGGGTGGGATCATACAACCACTGAGTCTGGGCTGCATTCATGCAGTCAAAATGGAGAAAAAAACTAAACATTTTTATAAATAACATCATTAATTGTTTCCCAGGAGGCTGGGGAGATGCACTGGTGGTGAATGATGTTCTGAGAAGCAGTCAGGGTCTGAAGTTAGAGGTTTTGGCAGATGAGTAAGGACAGTTGAGGGTGAGATAGGAGAAACAGCAAGGGACTGTGAAATAAATACACTGCATTTCAATCAGAAGCAGGTAACAGCTGGCTTATGTGGTATCTCCTCCCAGCAGGAGGAGAAGGGGCACTGAGTCCTCCAGAAATCCTTTCTCTGCAGGTGACTCCTGTGACAGACAGCAAATTCCCACAGAAACTTCCTCTGTGTTTCCCCAAGGTGAGATCTATGTTTCTTACCTTCCTTCCTTTGGCTCAGCTGGTGAGGGATGACATGGGCATGAGGGTCACAGCTGTAATAACCCTCCAGGTTTACACAGGTGCTTTTCTGGGGGCAGGCGTTGAGTTCAGCGTGGGAACATTCATTGACATCTAGGGAGAGGAACACACCTTGCACAGACACTGATATCAGCATCGAGACTGATCTGCAGTGTGTATAAACCAGGCTCTGGATATGATAAATTCAGTGCAAATCTGCAGTAACTCTTAAAATAATTCTGGATGTACATGGGTGCAAAGAAATTGGAATCCTGCCCTTCCCCAAAGCAGTTACAACCCTCTCACTTTTTACTCCATTTCTTTGGAATTAGAGGACAGTTAGGGGCAGCTCCTGCTTACAGCTGCAGGATGTCAGCCAAACCTAAGAGATGTCAGCAGAAGAGGAAGGAGACCTGCTGAAAGTGATTCCACTGACAGTTGGACTGAGTAAACACAGAATAAGAAGCATTGAATGTGGGTCTTATGGATGCACTTAGGGAGTACAAATGTTCAGACAGCTACACAGCAATGAGTAGATTCACAAAACTTAAAACTAAAATACTGAAATGTTTACCTAACAGTTAAAAAGTAGGTAGTAATATGTTATAAGAATTAACAGACTATCAATGTGACTTGTTTCATGCAAGCTACTGATAGCAACACATCTATAGCAATAGAGTGTATCTGCTTCCCAAGAAAACACTTTTCTTAAGGGCCTGTTGAATACAACTAATGTGGACAATATGACAAATATGGACATCTTTGCTTTTTCTTTTGAAAATGGGCTATACTATTGGGAGAAAATAAATTTAATTGAGCATTCAGGAGCATTCCCTTCTAAACTATTAAATCTAAAATTATTATTATTATTATTATTAACTACAGCCCTCTCCATCCTTTAACGGAAATGTCAGGGCCATATTTGCAAATATTACAAGATCCACTACACAATCTTTGAAAGCAAATTAATAGTCATATAAATGAAAATGCAAGCGAAGGGGGATGAAACCTCCTAAAAAAAGCTTCTCCCCTCCCCCCTCATGACAGGATTGTAATCAATGACCTTGCACTTGCGTGTCAGTCACTTCATACACGCGTTTCACCACGTCACCCAGGGAAGAAGAGACCTCAGCCAGCAGAGCCGGCTGGTGCAGCCCAAGGAGAACCTGGGAGGTCACTGTCCCGGCGTGTATCCCTGCAGGATTGCTCTGGATGTGGTGCACAGAGGCATTCCAGGGCTGCAACGCGCCAGTGATCTGGAAAACAGGGGAACAAACACTCGAGCACCTCGTTCATTTCTCAGCGCAGCTGAGGCGTAAATTATGCCACGATTATTATCATAATCTGAGTGGAGAAAGCAGCAAATCAGAAAACATGGCAAAGTGGTAACATTTAGGCCTGTCTTTATGCACTCTTATTATCACATTTCACAACTAATTTATATTATAGTAGTGCCAAGCTAAGGGAGGTGTGGAGCTGATCTCAAAACACTTAGGCAGAAGGATGTAATCCAGGAATATACGGGAAAAGTCCTGCTTTGCAAAGTCCCAATAGACATACATTACACATGCTGCTACAATTCATCTGTAAAAAAGCTGTCCAACACTTCTGACTTTCAACAGCTAAAAGGACTGCTGGCAAAGGGATAGGAAAGAAAAAGAAGAAAAGCAATAGACTGAGGGTGAAAAGTGGGATTGAGGGCCACAGAGAGACCCCAGAGAGACCAAGCCACCCCAACTGAGTGTCAGGAATGAGAGAAGGGACGTGGTGGTGGGTCTGGAAGAAATTCCTCTGAATAGCAGCTTGTTAATAGTCCCTATTTCTCTAGTGTTTGACTTTGACATAGCTTGTTTTAGACCAAGATATAAAAGTCTTTTTAGATCCTTGCCCTCTATTCCTTACCACACAGTGACAGGACCAAGATTTCTTTCTTTTACAAGGATATGAGAAGGGGTAAATCAGGTGGAGGAAGAGCTACACCCATGCTGCTGCTATCATTTCTATTCTCCTGCCCATCAGTGATGGCAGATCATGGCAGATGGGTTTCCTTTGCTACTTGCCCACTCCCAGCTGGAAACTGGGGAAGACTAGAAATAAAAATGTAGGGAATTAGGGACCTGCCCTCTTGGGTGCCTTTCAAAGGCCATATCCAAGCCTGCTTTTCTCCATGGGAAATGCTTGGGTTTGTGGCCTGGAGGGTCTTGTCCTAGTTCATCAATCCATTTCCTAAGTAACCCTGAGAGGACAGAAAGACCCTCTCTGCCTGAGCAAGGCTTTAGTTTGTGGCCTGGTCCCTCCTGCAGACCCTCCTTTCGGGAAGTGTGCCTCACACCTCTTCCAGGGCTGTGTTTTCCTTGGTTACCTGCGACTCTTCCTCCTTGACACGTTGGGGACAGGGACAGATTTACTGCTGCTAACCCATTCCCAAGGCAGAGCCTTTGGTCCTACAGCAAAAATATGACACTCTGCTGTCTGCCCCAGCCCTGATTCTGGTGGCAAGACTGACGATGCAACACCCTTGTCCCAACACAGTCCCCTGCCCTAATCCTGTTTTTTCACAGCGAAACTTCTGGCACTGCTGAGCCCACGTGCCTTGTAGGTCCCGGTGCCAGGGATCGGGTTTGTCTCTTGAAAGGTTTAACTCAAAACTCCTTATCACACTTTGGAGGTCTTGAAATCTGGTTCCAGTCAGTCATAGGTCCAAAGCTTAACTCAATCAGTGCTGGAGCAATCACCATTTAAGCAGGAAAACCCCTATGTTTCAGAATGTCTTTAAACTGCCCTTGGAAGAGACGTTAAAAATTTACTAGAGGAGCTGATAAATCAACATCACTTGAATTGCTTAAGGATGCAGCTGACATTCAGTAATCAGAAATACATCAGGGCCAAAACCAAAAATTAATCTGGCAGAAATGAGGGGGAGCAAGGGGTGGCCCCTGAGTAACAGAAACGAGGACACAACAAGCAGCACACGGGATTGTTCATGTTTGTACATACCATGGAGTGCAAAAGGCGGGAATGATTCAGAAGGTGGGAATCCACTCTGATTAATTCATTAAAATCCATTTTCACAAGCACTGTCACGTTGTACCAGAATGTTCTTCCTGAAGTGTACGAAATAGAACAGCCAAGTCATCTGAGGTCTGATGCTATAGAAAGCAACAGAGCTATAGGAAAGCTTTGAGAGAACAAAGCAGGATTTAACTTGGCAAACACGAAGGGCCCAGGTACAGCCCATCACCTACTGCCTCCTTTGCCATATGCCACCTCCTTTGCAGGTGCCAGCAAAGGAGAACAAGCCAAGGAAGGTCCACGGGACCCGCAGCACCCACACACTGCTCAGTGCTCCCGGGTGCAAGCACTGAAGCTGAATATCATGGAACTGATCCAAGGCAGATTCCCGTATTTGTTTTATGAAGAGCTATGGTAACAGTTTTCCTGCCCAATCCCACCCTCAGAAGGAAAAATTAAGCATATTTCTGTTAGAAGCAGTCCTGAATTTATCAGTAACATACCCTCTGGCATTGGGTCTACACAGCCTGCTCCTTTGGATGAGTTGCAGCATTTTTTGAGCCCTGGACACTCAGTATCGAACGTGCAAGGATAATCAGAGGTTTCCATATTCTCCTTTGGACAAATACCAGGTCTTGAGGCAAATACACTGGATCTGTTGAGTGCTAAGTAACAAAAACATTTCTGAGAACAAAAATATAGAAAATTGTTTCCACAAAATTGTGCTATTTAATTTATAGCAAACACCTCCTCCTCACTTTAGAAGAGCATCTGTTCTGAGGTTTTCACGGGGAGAAAACAACAGCCTAAAAATACCCTTATTTAATTCCAAGGGCATAAATGCTCTCAGATCTTTCTCTCTCTCGTGACATTTCTGCTACAGAAATTTTGGATTTGTAAATTTCCATTGATAATTATTCTAACTTCCCTGGCACAAGGCTGACCTTTAGTTACAGTAATTGTGGGTGTTCCATGAGAGCGGAGACACGACGTAGTTCTCCGGTACAGGTGAGTGGGTTACACAGGAGGACAGGAGAGCAGAACTGAGCCTGTGGCTGCAGCCTGGCAGCACCTGCTCTGTACCAGCTGGCCACTCCAGGAGGTTGGTAGCCCATGCCAGAGAGCCCTGCAGAGAGGGCAGCTAGGGCAGAAGGTTGCTGCTTCCAAGCCAAGGGCAGTCAGTGGTCCTGACTCAATTCCAGGACATATTTCTCTCCAGAGGAAAAGAGAAAACATTTCTAAGCCTTACAATCACTACTTTCACCCGTGGTCTCAGACACAGCTCCATGCTCGGCTCTGGTCTTTCTAATCAACCTGAAAGATTTCTCTTTTCCATTCATCCTGCACCTACAGATTTTCGATCCATTACTGGGCAATTAAAGTCAGCCAGGAGGAAAATTAACCTGATTCTTGCAATGGAAATAGTTGTGGTGCAGAAAAACCACATTTGACATAATAAAGCCCATAGAAAGTGAAAAGTCCACAACAAATTATAAATCTATCATGAATCATCAGTTCTGTGGGTTTACAGTTTCTGTTATCCCAAGACTCTGGATGACAGTAAATGTGAGGTTTCTGAGAAGCAGAAGGGGATACTGATACTGATTTCTGGCCTCACTGAAGTAACCTTCTTAAACAGGGAAATTAATTAATCAAGATTTAAACTAAATCTATGTAACTTGCTGCCACATGCACATTCCAAGTTCCCCCCTCTGCCAGTCTGTGGGAGACTGGAGGTTACTGCAAGCAGAAAGCCTCAGCTTTTTGGCACACTCCATAACAGTTCTCATTTTTAGCACTCCAAATCCCCAGCTCAATCTACAGTTGAGGGATTGAGCTCAAACTATGGCCTGCAAAACTCAACATGTGCAATTTTCAACCATTTACGCAAGTGGACATACAGAGATATTTGCTCAAAGAATTAGGCTATTAAAGCAGTGGTTTGTGTCCTTCTAAGGGCCCACAGTATCCCTGTCAAGGGCTCTGAAAGGTAACTGTGAAAAGTAGGCATAATTTAATGATGGAAGTTACCTCCACTGAAAAACCTTCCCAAATCCAGATGCTGGGGAACAGGGAAGACACTGAGTTGAGATGTCTCAGTAGGATGCAGGTTATTTGCACGCATATTTTTAAAGATCTGCATGTAGAGCAAATGGGATGGCATTTCCCACACTGTTTTGTGTTGTATTTCATCTGCTGTGTGCATGTATTTTGTGTGCACACATCCAGTGAGCAAAAGCTTTAACAAGGCTTTGAGCATCTTTCACAGATGCTCTTGGTGTGAGACCCACAAGAGCTCTGGGCAGCAAATTAGGAAACTCTGTCCCTATTCTCAAACCCAATGAATGTCTGGCTGCCCTACAGGGAGTAGGATTTGTCCTGCTACCTAATGCAGCCTGTTATAGGCCTTTTCATGCCTGTAAACCAAAGTAACTCACTCTCTTTAGTCTCTCACAGGACCAACTCTGCCTCCAAAGTTCACTCTGAGTCATAGGCCCCATAGGATGAGAAAAAAAAAAATCCACCCTGTGCAATCTTACTCAAGTTACTTCTGGGTCCATCAAGCACCAGGAATCCCATTCTGCTTCTCAGTATAGACCAGGAACCTCTGCTTCTGGCTCTGGGGCTGGCACTACGAGTTGTCCCTCCAAACAGATCTTACTCCTGGAAATATTCTTCCTGATTTTCAGTCTAAAACCACAATAAGGTGTGATATGGCTTCGGATGCCCTTAGATGAGCCTCCCAGACATTCCCAGTCTCATGTGATTGCTCCATCCCAGCCTCCTGTGCAGGGAGCTAAGCAGCCTCTCACACCAGAGCACCAAGGGATTTCCCTGTATTAGTATATTCCCTGTTCATCAGTGCTCCTTACTATTCAGAACCAGGTGGATCTTGGTAAGCTGGACCCAAGCATGTGAATTCCTCCAGCTCTCAGATTCAGGTGCAGTTCAAGCAGGTTTGAGGCTCAAAGCAGAATTTGTTCCGCCTGGGTCTCTTTTTTTTTTTTTTTTTTTTTTTTATTTGCTTGTTTAACTGCAGTGTAAATGGCTTAATGAGTCACATGCAATCTCAGAAAACACTATTGAATCCTGGCTCAGTGCCTCCCTGGCCATTTATCTGAAATCAAAAGGTCATCGTTTTCGGATCAGCGGAAACAGGGATGGATTCACTTCACATTTCTGCCTAATTGTACCAGATGCACTTTGAAAATTCAGTTTATGCTCTCCATTTCAATAACGTTGGGGACAGTCACCTACCAAGCAACACTGCCAGCACTGGGAGCAAGTCAGCCTCTGTCAGTTGGACAAAGTACAGGCTTTTCTCCTCTGTTATTTACATAAATGTATGGAAACAGAGCTGCAGCACCCAGTGCTTAGCAACCAAAGGTCAACTACCAGCCTGCCCACTGGAGAGCCACTGGATCTGCTGTGGCTGCAGGAGGGAGGGATCTCCCTGGAGATTGATGCTGAAGGACACCATTATCTCAACCATGATACCCTCCCTCTGCCTCCTTCCACCTGGAGGGGACAGGGTTCATCCAGAGGGACCAGCACCCTTCATTCATCTCAGGTATCAGAAGGTGGAGACAAATCCATGAAATTATAGAAAGAGTCCCTGGCAAAGTCTGTTCCAAAGGCAGACTGGAAGATTTCATCATATGTTTTGTGGGACTTTGAGCATTGGTAGACTTTACCTGCTCACGTGGATGTTTTCCATCCTAATTCCTTCTCCAAGGGTTAATTGGGTTGTGTGTTGGTCCAGTAGCTGACTAATATTTAACACCCTTCCCTGTGGAAAGCTCTGTCATCCACTAGAACATATTCAGAAGCCATGGGCTGAAATTTGGTAAGGATGCAGCTGTGGAACAAGGGGGGACCACGGCCTTCAAAGAAAGACTTGTAAGAAAAGACTACTAAAAAGACAAGGACTTTTGTCTTGAAGAAGAGGAGCCTGAGGGGGATGTGACCAAGGTTTACAAGATCCCAAAGGCAGAGGGCAAGGTGAAAGCAGAGCTGGTTTTCACCAGAGCCCACAGTAATAAAATGAGTAAAAGCACACATTTCTTTACCTAAATAGATTGTGGAGGCAGACAGCTTCAGTGGGCTCAAAAAGGGACAAGACAGTTCCCAGACAGGATTCCCATAAGCAGACACTACAAGGAACAGGCAGGGACAGACCCTCTGATGCCCATAATCCCATTTCTGCAGCTGCTGAGGGCAAACAAGGGACCCAAACTGCAGGGCAGGGAGAGACACCTGCTCCTGGGTGAAGTTCCATAGGGCATTTTGGCACCTTCCCACCCCAGGCTGATGCTGTAACGCTGCCCATATGTGACACCACCATCCCATGGCTTTCTGGTGACAGCCCAAGCATAGGGGACAGCTGTGCCACAGCTCCTCACTGCTCCAGCTGGAGTCAGCATGGGAACATCTACACACTGGCCCTAAAATGTCCCAGTCCTGCTGAGGAGCTTCCTGGGCTCCAAAAATGAACATTTTTTACTTTACAGTGGTTTTTCTGAAAACCTTAGGAAGTTATGCACACAAAGAGCACTCTGATTAAAAGTGTGACCTTAACATTGCAAATCAAACACTCCCAAGTTAAGAAACTCCAGGATTAAAGTTGTCTGGGCCTTCTTATTTCAGGGTGTTTTTCATGGAGGTAACAGATCAACAGTGTGCTTAGGGAACTTGAACTAAAACAGTGTTTTAGAGACTTGTGTGCTTAAAAACCAGGGTTCACTGCATGCTGATGCACTCTTTCCCTCCCTAGCTGGGGATCAAGCAGGGTTAGGTGACAGATAAGGAGCTCTCTGGTTTCATCTTGTGCTGGAAAGTGGGCAAGCAGCCAGTCACCAGCAGAAGTAACTATACCATCCATTCAAGCAGCTGGAAATTAGCCTGGAGAATTACATCCTGTCTCTACCTGCAAGATTCTGGGAAAGCTTTGTAAGGTGAAACAACCTTTCAGAGCCGTGGGTTTTGCAGGTCCATGAGCCTGACCTGCAGCCCTGGACCTGCCAAGCAGTTGAGGGACTGCTCAAAGTCACCACTGAGGATGTGAATCTCTGTGGCCCAACCACACAAGTTGTTAAAGGCAGCTCTAAGCACTCTGAAAAGCAAAATAAATTTAAAAAAAAAATTAAAACTGCCCCCAAGGTGTCTGAGAGTGGGCACACAGTGGATTGATCTCAGTATCCCTGCAGCTCAGTTGCCCATCTGTGAAAGACAGAGAACCCCTCTCGCTTCCTGCAGTCTGTGTGAAGACAAATTGCTGCGTGTAAATCCCCCAGGATTCACCTGAAGAGGTGATAAATAATTCTCTCTTCATTGAGAGGCTCAGCAGAGCACTGCACCATGCAGTGAATGTGGAGGTCAAGACGGAGTGTTGCTGGGGAGCTCCTTAGAGGGGCTCCATCATCCCTGGGCACCACATGGAAATGTGGTCCTTGGGGCATGGCAGAGCTGGATTAGGTAATTAAAAAGAGTTTATTAATCTTCACAGGCCCAAAGAGAGAAAACAAAGGTTGTTTCATTTAATCCCACCTTTGGAATTAATTCTAGCACTTCCTAACTTTTAGATAATTCACTTTTGTGTTGTTATTTAAAAATGTTGAAGTCATTTGTGTAATGCTGTCCCAATGGATAGATGGGCAACTAGTGAGAACTACAAAGTCATTTAATAATGTAGGTACTTTTTCCCATCATTAAAGAAGTAAGAAAACAGGGCCTGCCATATCCCAGGCAGGGGCAAATGTTTCCTTCTAGGAAGAAAAGGTGAGGAGTGGCCAGGAGCAGGTTGCTGGGAAAGGCCACGGAGACCTTTCCACTCCTAGCAGGATGAAGAGCATGACAGCATGGATAACGTCAAGGAAAAAATAACAGTAGTTCAACAGCATGCTGTGCAGTAATTTCAGCAGTTCCAGTTTCTCTTCTCATCATTTATTTAAGACTGTGTCTAGACGGTGCATTACCATTCACAGAAATTATGACTAATGCCCTGAAAAGCAAAGATACCGGAATAATGCAAACACGGAAATCACCTAGAAGCCATTCAAATCCTTCTACGGCTTAAAATATTCACAGATTAACTTTGACAGGAAAAAGAGTCAAGGTGACCACAGTATTTCATGGACAAGCCTGCCCAGAGTGCCCATCAGCAACGTGGTAAGGGCGGAGTGGAAATTCTGCGAGTTTTACAGGAGATGTACAGATTTGTTCCTTTTAGATGAAACAAACCCATCAACAGCTCTCAAGTCCAAAATATCCTTAGAGATGCCTCTAAAATACATAGGATTTTTCTAGGAAAAAAGATATTTAAGGTGTTTCCAGGATGCTTTTTTTTTTTCCCAGACAAGAAGATGGTCTTGATTTTCAGAGTTTCAAAACACCTGAGTTTCTTGTGCAAACTGTGATATCCACAACTAGCAAGTGACTCTTCCACATTTAGCTGGCACAGCTCTCTCCTTGCACTACAGAATTGAGGCCGTTTTCTCTGATTGCCTCTCAGACTTGTCATTTGACTCATGCATGCACACACGAATGCACACGTGTGTATAACAAAAAACCTTACTAAAGTAATTTTTCAACAATAATTAGACATACTGGAGATTTTCTCCAGTGCAGAACTGATATTTGGAAAATGCAGATGATTAACAATGGGTCCTTTGCCAGTCTGACAGGACTGCCTGGACACACAGTAACCTGCAGGCCAAATTTTGCTGTGGCTGACACTCCACAACAGCCACAGAGCCAACCAACAGGAGGATACACTAAATTAAGAATCATGTCTCTCTAATTATGCTTTAATTTCTCTTCTATAGCAAATAATTTTAGGAACAAGTAAAACACAACAACTGTGTTCCCATCTTTCTTTTAAAAGCGCTTTCCTGCTAGACAAGATATTCTACTACTGTTGAGAAAACACCTGGAAAAAAATTGCTGGGAGGCTCTTTTTCCAAAGCTCTGAAGCAGCTTAAAAGTAGGATGAACACATTGTTCTTGACAGATCCCATGACAGGATATATGGCTCATACCCTCTCATGCCACGTTATATGATCTGGTGCAGGAGCAGGTTTGGGGACATTCCCACAGATCTGAGTCACCCAAGTCTCATGACCCAAAACAAGGGCCAGAGCTGCAATAGGACCTTTCCTTTGCAATCTGCTGTTGCAGTGTGTGACTGTGTAAATGCCCAGGTCCATACTGAGAAGGGAACATGGAGAAAATGTGATGTCACACTGAAAACAGGAGATTAAATTACGTCCTGCAGAACTTTTCTGCATGACAGAACAGTTCAGTGCTGGCCTAGCTAATCCAAGATGCCTATTCAGCTCAAAAGCATGTAACTTTATCCATTAAAAAAAAAAAGTTCCTGTTCCCCAAGGAATCTCTTCCATCTACGTCTCAAGTTCTAATAAAACTGGGAATTTCTTGTTGACAACTGGTAACCCTGATGTGAGAAGGGGAACAAGCTTCCATCTTGAGACAAAGATGGTTAAGTCTTCCTGAGTAGAGCCTTGTTAACTCTCAGAAGTTAGATCAGACCCACCAAAAGGTTCACCAGTTTTCAGACCTTCCCCAGAGTCGTAGGTAACCAAGGAGAAAATGGGCCCTGGTGTAGTTTTGTTTGGAAAGCAGTTGGTACTGACTTGCCCTGAGGTCTCAGGTTGTTTTAAATTTAAACCAAAATTGGGTTTGCATTCTGGGAACAGACCCTGCTTCAAATCAAAGGAGATGTCATCCTAAATGCATCCTGGATTACTTCTGACAAGAAAGCTCCCCATGTAAATGGAAACAGGCTCAGAACAGACACTGCACCAGGCACAGGGGAGTTATTGCACTTGGCCAGGGACATTGGCCTTAACCAGGACAGGTAAGGAGCCCCTGGGGGGATAGCAAGGGGGTCCCTTCTTCAAGATCCCCTGGAATTTTAGTGAATTTGTGGCAAAGAGCAAGAATCAGGAGCTTTAGTCTTTCATGTCTACTCCTTACCTTGTTGGACAAAGTTTACTCTACATTTTTGCAGACTCACTGGTTCCAGTGAACAGGAACCTATGTCCCAGAATGGGATGAATGCTCTTCCACAAGAAGCATTTTTTTCAACTCTTAATCTGACCAAAACTTACCTAGGGAGCAGTAGAGTCCAACTTGTTCATATCCCTCACAGCAATCTGTGAGAGTGATGGTTTCAGGGACTTCAATGCTACGATACTGGGGTTTATAGTATGTCTGGGGACACACCATCCACGGTATCCACCCTCCACAGGACGTGTTTCTCTCGTAGGACTTCTGGTAGGCAACCATTTTAACCACATTTTTGGTCAGGGTGTAGTTGCACAGATGGTACCCTAGCAAAGAGAGGCCTTTTTCTGGAGAAGAAAAATAAAAACAGGGAAGAAAGGGATCAGCATTAACTTGTCACTCTGGAGCATCAGTTCCCTGCGAGTCTCTAGTTGAAAACAGTGTTGTGAGAAAGCAGTGACAGAACCAATAGAGATGAATGATTTCCAGGAAAGCTGATGTTAGGAAGAACATCACTTCAAAAAACAGACAGAAGAAAGAATTAGTAGTGACTGCTTGTCATAGGTATCACTTTGGTCATCAAAGGATGCAGATTGCCAGAAAAGTCAAAGAGTTCTTGGTGCCTTCAGGAACAAAGGATAAAAAGGACATTTTAACTCAAGAAAATGGAAAGGAAATTAGTATATGTTAATGGAAAATAGTAGAACAAAATAGGCACTTCCAGGCCAGAGTCATCCAAGCACTTCACATGTCCACTCTGGCCTAATGATGCCAAAGTGTTCATTGCTCTCCTCTGGCTATAAAGGGAATGAAGGGAACTCATGGGCAGATGAGTCACAGTAGATGTCTGGAATAAGACATCCTTCAGACATCACTCCAGGCTAAAACTGGGTCCTCGTACATCATTGGGAAGGACTTTCAGGTCTCTGACACAGAAGGTATTCCTGGAGCTCCTGTGCTGCCTCTCTGCATTTGTAGCAGACCTTGTTAGATCAGACCTTGGGACCTGAAGTGGTTCATTGACTACAGGATAAACAAAGCCAGTGATAAGGTCGTTAACTACATCATTTCACACAGGTCTGGGAACGGGACTCCAGAGTTTTCCAGAGTTCTGAAACCATTCGTGATGAGGAGTGAACTTGTTACATGTTTTACTTAAAACTGAAATACTTGAACAGGAACGGGGATTAAAAAAAAACAACACCAAACAACACAGAGAAACATCAACGACAGCAACAGATCCAGATGGAGTTTAAGAATTAGCAGTGAGCAACCTACAGTCATGTCACCGACATCAGGCTGGCTCCTAATGAGATATTATGGAAGCCAGAGGGGCTGAGTCACTCTGTGTCCCATTTGGGAAACCGATCGGATAGAATTAAAATGCCTGCATCATCCTTCAGACAAAGCAAAAGAAACTTTAACAAGGATAAACATGAATTAGCTGCAGAGATTCAAATATAGCAGGGTTGTTTTCTTTTCTGAGAGCTCTGAGGGCACCAGGGTCAGCCAACAGACAGACTGAAGCTAACACAGTATACACAAAAGACATACAATTAAAATATTTGCAGCTTCTCTTATTTGTACTCTGCTGCCTGAAAAGATGAAACACATAAAAACAATTCAGGAATTGTCAGGTTCTTGGGAATCTGTGCTTTTATCACGTTTAGCTTTCCAGCTAAACAAAAGATATATGCAGAATTTGAGCAGGACTGATAAAAAAGTTTTGGATGGGATGACCACAGGGGCAGTCCAGAAGAAAACATGGAATAGATATGGTACCTAAATATGGCCCCAGGGAGCCCAGCCCTGCTCTGCCCAACCCCTCTGTGCCTTCCTTCTGCAGCAAAAGGCAGAGTTTGACTCCGGGTTGTGCTACAGGGAGTACGTGTGGGAGCAAGAGAATTCCTGGCAGGCTCCAGGCAATCTGTGCTGCTGCTTAGAGCAGGTTAGCAGGAAAATATTGACAGTAAGGGCATAGCTGGAAATCCCACTCCCTGCTTCTTCCTCCTCCCCAGCCTCAAGCAGGGCATTTCTGGGTCCAGTCCCTGAAGCAAGATCCAGAGGCAGAGGCTGGAAGGTGTTCACATCCCTAAAAAGCACCAGGGCTTGTCCTTAAGAAGAGATTGAAAGGAAACAGTCACGAGGGGTAGGAAGACACTCAGACTGTCCCCAGCTGTGAGGCTGAAACCCACACCCAGCCTGAGCCAGGAGAGGATCCCAGTGGCCGGGATGGAGGGCTGACCAGGACTGGGAAAGCCCATTCCCAGTCGTGGCTGGGCAGGAGGGAATGGAGGGGGAAGTGAGTCAGGGAAAGCATAGTGGCCTCCCTCCCTGGATAACTTTAGGATATCCATCTGGGAGAATGAGAAAAGAAAACAAATATGGGTTCTGGGGCACAAATCAGAGATCTGATTTTTATGCTGCTTTTTATCCAATGCATTTGATGGATTAACACTTCACATGAGGCACAAGTGCCTGATAAGAAACAGGGAGCTGTCACTGCATTTTAGAAAACATTCCCTTGCCATGTGTTAAGAGTGCTCCAAGAATACCTATCCCTGCAAATGCTTCTAGGCTTGTAGGTATGGGGGGGGAGGAAATAAATCTTGTTTCAGCTTTTTTGCCTCTTTTTTTTTCTTCATTAGTTTGGGACCTGAAAGGCTAAATAACCAGAGGGGAATAGAGAGAACACTTAAATCACTGTGGTTATAACCTTTCTCTTGAAAAAGGGCACAAGCATCTGTTGGTGACCAGGGAAAGCAGAAGGAGCAGGACAAATTTTATTCTATGAAAACGAGAGGAAAAAGAAAACACCTCATGCATTAGGGAACCAGACTGTTATTATGTTAGAGGAGAGTAGGAAGAAGACTTCAGCCTTGTTCCTCATCCCTGTGATCCCTCCATTTCCACAGAGCACAGGTATAGCATGGTTGGAGCAAAGCAGGGCCTGGAAGGGAACAGCTGAGGAAGGAGAGCACAGAGGATTCCTGTTGTCCATGCAGAGCCGAGGCTGCAGCGAGGACATAGCACTGGAAAGCTAAAAATTCCAGTGTCAGCTGAGCTGGCTTAGTCTCTACAGCAATGTGCAACATAAACACAGGTATGAAACTGAGAATAAAATGGTGTAGAATTAGACACAGTTTATAATTAGAAGCCACAGCTGTCAGAGCAGATATGAAATCATATTTCATACTTAAACATTGATACTAAGTGTATATATATATATGTGTGTGTGTGTGTGTGTATGTATATATACACTAGATATAGAATGAGGCTGCCAAAGCCAGAAGAGAAAGTTTGAGATGTGGCTCTGGTGGTACAAAAAGATGCCCTTATTGGAAGAGTTTGGGCTGAAGGTGGCAGGGAAAGTTGCAGCACGACCAACTTTGGCATCATCCATCACTTCCATACAGTTTAAAACAAGCTTTGACACTCAGAGAGTTCAATTATTTGCTGACAGCAGTTTGCTGCTGAGCAATGTGGCTTGGATCAATCTGGGCTCTTTAGCAAATTGGCTTTCTGCTCTCATTGCTCCCATCTATGGGATTGTGGCACAATCAAATGGAATTAAAATGCACTGGCTGCTGTTTCCAGAGACCCAGAGCTGAAGTCAATCCCAAAGCAGGAGAAGGCAGACACCTGATGTCAGTAGGGCTGTGTTACAATTATCATCTCTGGCCTTCAGTTTTGTGTCTCAGAAACCACCAGCTTTCAGAACTGTCAGGAAGAGCATTAATTTTTTTACGTTAAGCAAGAGCAGAAACAGCTAAAGCAAATATTTTATTAATAGAAGAAATAAAGCCTGGAAGAAAAGGCTGCGTAGGAGCAGGCTGCTTATAACTCAAGGTCAAACCCAGATCAGAACTGAAACCAGGGTCAAAAAACAGCAATAAAGAATGCTTGATAGCATTTATGACACAGATACAGCTGCAGTTCTTGAAACTTCACTGTTCAAGTGCCAGAAAAGCCACTGTGAGCTGGGATCTGCAAAATTTTTTCTTGCTGGAGAACAGCAAGAGCCAAAAACAAGCCCTTTTCTTATCTTGATGTAACCTCAGAAGTCATCTGTCAGAAAAGGTTCCCAGAGGGCAGATTCAAGCTCAGCTTTAAAAGGCAAGGGCTCCAAAACAAGAAGAAAAATGGATTAAGAGCTTGATTTTTCTGTGTATTCCAAATTCTTTTTAAAGTCAACACAATTTAAATTGTATTAGAATGGGGGTTCTGCTGACCCCTAACCTGTAAAAGCCTTTTTTTCAGCTGTGACTTGGACGGAATAACAGAAAAGTCTGCAGGGTTCTAAGAAATATGGTTTATATTTAACTGAGACTCACTAAACCACTTAAGCAAAAATATGCAACAAAAAGCAGCCAAAAGTCACGATCTTTTCTCATCTAAATAAATCAAACCAGAAACGAAGAGCAAATTAGGAGTTCATTTAGCAGTTACAACCTAACAACTGGGTTAGGTTTTTCCAAATTACATCCCATACCACAGATGAAAGTTAAGCATGTCTTCTATTTAATTTTTATAATTTGCTTCATTTTATGCGCCTCTAGGAGTTTACCAGGTACATTACTACCTCATTTCCTCTGAAAGTTTATTTTAAAGACAACTTTCATAAAAATTTGCACATTATTGAAGACAAAGCAGGAATTCTACTCATTCATTTCTGGCACAAAGGGAAGAAGGATTTTGCCTGGGGATGAAGAGTAGGGGACAAAGGTTGTATTTTCGCTGGGTTAGATTTTCTTTGTTTAATTATCAATCAGGGATTCTTAAATGGCCACTGAGACATTGCCAGCTCTTCATTGGCTGGTTTATTTCAAATAAAGAGCCATCTCACCTCCAAACTAAACTGTCTGTGTAACAGCCGTGGTCCTCTGACCAGTTTTTGCATCACTCACCTGTAATCTCATCCCCACTTCCCTGCTGTGTGGCTGCCCAGAGGACGAGAACAGAAATAAGAGTGATCCCAGCCATTGTAGTGCCCATCCTGCATAAATCCTTCTTATGGCTTTGTTTCCAAGGTGGGAGAGCCTGACTGTCCTTACATGTAAGACTTTTGGATTAGGGAAAAAGGTGCTCTGTTCTCTTCCCTTTTGCAGGTGGGTGATAACTCCTGGCAACAGAAACAAAGAGCCTCCAGGGGGAATTTCGCCGGTTCTCTCTCCTTCCCCAGGGAACCTGCCTCTTCTGCCTGTTCAGCTGGGCTCCCCCTCAGCCTGGCTTTGAGAAAAAGGCATTTCAAAACTGCTGGTTTAGTCCATGTTTATCCTTCA